TCATTGTTGCTCCCGCTCAAAACACTAGGGTGTTTCCCCAGGGAAATTCTTTCGCTGAGGTGATAAGCCTAAAGCTTGACACACCCAGTTTCATTATTAGTTTAGTTATTGGATGACTGATCACACCTAAGTCACATTCATTAAACATATGGCATTTGCTGTGTGTAATTAAACACAGGGAGACTGACTTACTCTATTTGGAGCATTAATATAATTAATGTAGAATTAATATTAAAATTAAAGAATTGGTAACAGATAACATTCATCATGAAAGGTTGCAGTTATATACACAAATTATGCAAGAAATTCAAGATAGGTATCCTACAAGTGTTCATGAGAGAGTATCATGCCGTCAGTGCTTATGCCCTGTATTGTGTGTATATTTAGTGCAGTTTTTAAGTGGTTTTACTTGAGATGGACATGCTATTAATTAGGCGATTCTGGGTTATTATTACCATGATCTGAGACACTAAAATATCCCTGCAATAAATGCTGTGCAGAAATAATGCCTTGCATCATTTTCTTGCAGTTATTACCTTTGGCTGCATCACTAGTGTCATCTTAGAGGAGCACTTAAAGCACTAGGGGCTCATGATATAAATATAGTACAGTCACCCATATTCTAAATAGGGATGGGTATTATAAATGCTGTCTTCTGTGACAGTAGTGTCGGGACACCAGTCTAACTTTTACACTGCTAGCAACGGTCAGACCAGTACGTGATTTGGTTACACCTTTTTTAGAATTATTATCATCTTTGATTCCAAAGCTTGTCCCTGTCTGTGTAGCACATGGGGAAAGTTACACTGGCATTTATGTTTCAATGTCAACCCAAACCAAGATCTTAGTTATCCAATATCATGGTTCTTCATGATGTACATGCACATAACATGCTATGCATAGGGCACCAAGTGCTAGCAGGGGTACTAATGAAAATGATCATAATGCATTTGCATGAATGTGACCTTGTGAAATTTTAATTTGCATACTCTCAAATTTTGGTTGCAGTCTGGATTTTTGTGGTTTGAAATATCTCAATACAAAATGCAGAAAGGAAACTCACAAGCTGTGTACATGCATTTCACAAGTAACATTATTAGATAATGCAAAATAAGTTATTAGGAAATGTAAATATAAAAAATATATTTGTTGAGCACTTTTTACAGATATAAGTTACAAAGTGCTTTACATAGGCATTACAAAACAAGGAAAGATATTTTAGAAGATGATGTGACCACCTGAACCATATGCCTCCATGTTTGTGTCTCTCTTTTTTCAGGCCACAATGACCAGTTTCCCCTTGACTGCAAGGTTTATGTTGGGAATCTAGGAAACAATGGAAACAAGACAGAGTTGGAAACTGCTTTTGGGTACTATGGCCCCTTGAGAAGTGTTTGGGTTGCCAGGAATCCCCCAGGCTTTGCTTTTGTAGAGTTTGAAGATCCCAGAGATGCATCCGATGCTGTGAAAGAACTGGATGGAAGGTAACTAATTTAACACCGTAATCAAAATTTTCTCTATTTTCTTTTACTTTTTTTGGCACTTTCCCACTCGTGATGATTTGTGCTCAGAAACATGTGTGGCTGTCGAGTGCGTGTTGAGTTATCCAATGGGGAAAAGCGCTCAAGGAGTCGGGGCCATCCTCCATCCTGGGGTAGACGCCCTCGCGATGATTTTAGGCGACGTAGTCCTCCAGTCAGACGCAGGTATGTATTTCCTACTTGACTCATGAGTCACTTTATTTGTTTACATACAGTCTCATTGTGTGCAGTGTTTTTCTAAAGCACGAATGACAAAGCTGATTTACAATCCCCACACACTGTAAGCATTAATTTTTTTTACTCTATCTAAATATAAGTTCATTTGGTAAAGTCATTTAAATCTGCCAACCTCCCACACTGGCAAATAATCTCTTATATCTTTAGATCTCAGACCTATTGAAGCTTAAACCAAAGCCAAAACCAAGTAGGAGGTGATTGGTAGTTGCTGTGACCTAAATTTTATTGTTAGAGCTCTTAGTGCTGTTAAACATGATAGTAAAATAATATTATTATTATTAGCACACATACAAAATGAGTTCATCAATAGATAAAATTTGGATCCAGCTGCTTTGGGATTTGATTAATAGGTGTCATTCCCTTTTCTCAATATGTTTAAAAAAATCTTAATTTACAGGAGTGACACTTTATAACAAACTTTCTTCATTATTTCATTGTTTTCAAGGTGTTTTGTCGTTTTGTTGTTTTTTTTTTTTTTTTTTTTGCTAAGTCCAAAGGTAGCTTATGTTAGCATTTGACTATTGATGAACTCTTATAACAATATGTTTGTTTAAAAAAAGCAAGCAACAAAACAGGCTCTGTCAGAGTGCTATTGCTTTACGGGGACATCTTAAGAGGCACTTTTTGCAATTCATCATCAAGCAATCATTCTCATAGGTACTTTCTAGAATTACATTCTGCAGGTGTAAATTTTGTTTTCTTTCTGAGTTCAGTTGCCATCTATTAATAAAACTGAACCCCGTTGCAGAGTCACCACCACGCTTCTCACCATCTGAGTCAGTCAACTAGTCTTCTTTCAGCATCATGTGACTGCTGACCAGGGAGCCCCAATCAGCTTGGCTGGTGTTGTCACATGACCAAGGCGCACCGCCAGTCGTCAGGTTCCACCAACCTTTTGGTCCCTGAGCATGCAGTTCCCAGCATCCTCCTCTTCTTCCTCCAACTTTAACCCAATCAACAGCGGCCCACTTCACATTATCAACCAATCGGCGTCTTTACTCTCTCTATTCTCCACACAACTGCTGTATCAGCGGGAACAGCCCTTGGCTTACATCCCTTCCCATCCTTCCCCCCAAAAAAGGCAGGGAAAATCTACAACTACCCCTTCCAACCAGCCACCAAGCAACTTCATATCTCCAACATTTGCATCATGTGGCAAATCCTCTCGGCAATTCGACTTCCCTCACCATCAGTCTGGCTTCCTTGCGTCATTTCTATCTTGTCCAAATCCCCCCAAATAGTAAGTTGCTTTTATCCTGCTCTTTGTAGTTTGTATGCTTAATCTAACCATAAAAGGTGCTTGACAGTTTTCCCAGAGCAGTTATTTAATTTAGAGAAAGCTGCAAAAATCTACACATCAAAAGATGTGGTCAAGGAACTTAACTTTCAGTGTTCAATTTTTTATATGCAAAAAATTAACTACATTTGGATGTTCACTGGGCATAAGAGTGCAATTTCATGGCTCGACATTAGGCCACCTTTAGTGATATCCATTGGAGAAAAGAAGTGAAGATGATCACAGTCTGTTTGTGATCACATCCACAGTATGGAGCAATTTAATTTTATCCTGGACCTTTTGTAGATCATTGTGCACAAGCTGTATGCCTCCAGTGTTTAAAAGCAGTATTTTACGTCCTCGCAGCAGGCAGCAGATAGATGATCTGATGTTTTGCGCTTGTCATAATTAAGTTGTAATGTATTTTTAGTGGTATTTGTCCCAGGCAAGCCTTAATGTCGAGCCCTGATTTTGTCCTATTTTCTGAAATCTGGCTCCATGATTGGTGCTCATTGGACAAAGTTTCCTTTTAATGAGTTGATCTTGATGCAGTTCATGGATGCAGATGATCCTTCTATTAACAGACAAGGGACTACGTGTAACCACGTTTCCACGAGTAATCCATGTCTCTAAGGATCAAGAATACCAAAGGTTTCATTAGTTATGGGAAAGTTGAATTCTACATACTAAATATTTTTTGCCTCATTTTTTTTTTTACTTCACCTACACTATAGGAGGAGAAGCCGCAGTCGCAGCAGGTAAGCTTATAACGGTTTTTATTTCAACTCTGCATTTGTTGATAATTAATGATAAAATTCATCTTTATTGTGTTTTTGGTTTGGTTAACCAGGTCTCTTTCAAGAGACAGAGGCAGACAGCGGTCTCTCTCCCGAGACAAGAAATGCCAAAGATCCATCTCACGGTCAAGGAGGCAAGTTTAAGTGTTAATGATAATCATCATACTGTAACCTAAGACCTAATGTTACTGCTAAATAATTTTAATGATCATTTTGCACTTACTCACTTAATTGTTTACTTTTCAGTCGTTCCCGTTCTAACGAAAGAAAATGAGGACCTCAGACAATGGTTCATCTGCAGGATCTCACCATGGTTAGGAGGAAAAACAATTTTTTTATAGCCATGTTTTCTTTTCTCGAGAGATGGCTGAGTTACATATTGTGTAATGGAAGTCCGTTGAATTAACAACAAAGGACCTAAGTCTTTTCTTCTGAAGTAAATTCTGTCTTACCCTGCATGTTTAAAATGATATACTGGATTTAGTTTGACATTACCATCCTGTTTTTAAACTGTTGAATTAAAGCTCATGTTGTGTTTTTTTTTATTTGTTTTTGTTTGCTTTTTTAAATTCTTTGTTTTAGATGACTGGCAGTGGGTTATTGTGAGATGCACCACCAGTTAAAAGCATACTTCATACCAGTGACAGAAATGAGACTGGCAACAAATGTTAAATACTGGTGCTGTTATTTTCAGGCTATTCTTTAAGCCAGAAACATGTTCTGTAATTCTGTATTTTACCTATGTCAATTTTGCCAAGAAAGGCATTTACTCTATTCAACTTTGCTTGATTCTCTGAGCTCTGACAACTTGTGCTGCTGCAGTTAAAAAAAAAAACTTGTTCAATAAATGGTTTTCCAAGGTGACTAAATCTCCTCTTTTTCTTTTCTGTTTGGATAGTTACAAAAACGAATTTGTTTAATAATATGTCAAAACTCACATGTATAATAATCAAATGAGATTTTGTAAATACGGGAAATTAAGTTTTATTCAGTTTAGGAAGTACTGTGTGGTGTTGTTGCTGTTGCGTGATAAAGGCTGCAATCATAACCCACACAGGATGTTCTCAGTCATGGTTGCAGTAGAGGAACAACCCACTATGTGAAACATATTTACCGTTGAGCACTGCCTGACATGACATTACAAAGCATCTCGTGTCATGAGAGGACAGAAGTGCCAGATTTGGGTGGTAAGTACATGAGGTGTTGCAAGAATTGTGGAAGGCCTGGCCTTTTTTAATTTCTAGATTAAAGTTATTGATGTAGTTTATCCTTTTAAAATGAACTGAAAGATGAACAGTTGGGATTATGGTAAATACCAAAAATAAGTATCTTGATTTGTTAAACAAAGTGATTGTTTTGGATCTTTCACAGTATTAAATGAGACATTCCTTGTGTTTATTGTAGCACATTTTAATAAAATTCAGGTGTTGCCTGATGCTGATGTGCAGTAGATATAACTTTGATTTGCTGTCACATTGTATAACCGAATGTCTCATGCTTTAAGAGAGAAGATAAGAAGTCATGTCCGCTCAAAGTGCAAAGAAAAAAAGATTTGGTTCACGTCGCCGAGCAGCAAACCAAAATGAAATATCTAAGGGTGATGAGTTCCACACAACGGACAGCACCTTTGTAGCTCAATACCACATACCAGAAGAAAATACTGAGTCATTAAATGAAGTTGCTAGTCCTGACAATTCACAGTCTGAAACACAACCCCTACCTTCACCTGAACTCTCAGGGAACAGGAGAAAACTGGGATCTAGTCGAAGAAATAAAAGACAGCATGTTAAGGACTCGGAGACTGAATCGCACCACAACCCCAGAGAGGAAGTTGAGGAAAAGACCAGGGGAGAGGAAACCACTGAAACGAAACAAATGTCACTTGTAATACAACATAAGAGGCAGGAAGAGTTAAGTCAGGGGGCTGTGGATGATATGTCTGCAACGCATGACGAGTCTTTGTATTCAGCCGTTACACCTCATCATCCTTCTGAGGTTCAAAACTCTACAATAAACTATGCAGAGGCTGACCTGGAAATTTTAACTCCCAAAAGTGAAAATCTGCAAGTAGACCAAGATGAAAATGAGACCAACTCTAGGGTGGTTTCTGACTCTTGTAAATTAGTGGAATATATGCAGGAAGGAAATGACAAATCTGACACTCTTCACAGTGAGGACGTCAAAGAAAGTGAACATCTTGTTGGCATCTCTGAGTTAACTAGTTTAAGTGTACTTTCATGCCCAACAGTAGATCCTCAGCTGATTGACCAATTAAATTCCAGGGAAATGCCAGAAGAAAAATTTCCAAATATGTATTCTACAACAGAAAAAGACAGCAATGAAAGAGACAACAACACAGAATTGTTAAAGCAGCATGGAAACTTACAGGGCAACTTCTTAGTGAGCGAGTCACATGTAGAATCAGTTGCTATGCAGTTTTCTACCACACCAGTGATAACCACAGAAAAAATGAGATCAAGAGAAAACACTGACACTGAATGCAGTGTTTGGCAAGCAGCAATTTCAACAGCAGAAGAGGTGTTACATACAGATGAGGAACAAAATCGGCATTTCGACTTATCAGAAGTCAGAGGTGATCATCAGTCAGAAGATGCTGAAAACAAAGTTCGTGAAGAAAAGATTAAGCCAACAGAAATACATGAAATCACATCTGAAATGTTGATACATGATGCCACAGAAAATCCTGAAATCATTTCTGAAAACCTGACAGACCAAACTGACATGAGTGGCACACAGCAGTCTGAGTTCGTTGTGAAAATCACAGATGATTGTCTCACCAGTAATGAAATTTCAAGTTCTGACAACCAACAGGATGAGCATCATACAGATGAAAGCAACGCTGAGGCTTTAGAGGAGAAAAATGAGGATTATCATGTATATCATACCAAGAAACCACCAATCAGCGACATAGAAAGAGTAGACACTGCACTTGGTCAGGTATATGAGATGGGATGCAGAGTAGAGGATGATATAAAACCCAGTGTTGAACAAACAGGTCATCAGGAGAAGGATAGACTTTTCTATGAAATGGAGGAGAGTGAGTCCCCCTTACAAACCCTGCAATCAGAAATAAATTCTCCTTTTGATTCCCAGCATCAGCAAAATGACACAGGCTTCAACCCCCTTGGGAACAGAAGAAAACTGGGGTCTAGTCGAAGAAATAAAGGAAGACAACATGTCAAGGACCCTGATGCTGAATCAAACCAAAAACCTACAGAGGATGTTGTTGGAAATACCAGAGATAATGAACCCCTAGAAACAACAGAAATGTCAATAACAAAAAAAACAGCAATGCAGGAAAAAACAAATGAAACCATGCTGGAAGGAAAAGACAAATTAAACACTGCTGAGACTGAAGATGTTAGTGATCAAGTTAAAGAAAATGAACATGTTGTCACACTTGTTGGCACTGATTTACATTCAAGTTCAACAGTAGATCAACAGACAATCGACCAATCAAACAGGGAGATGCCAGATGAGGAGCTTCCCAGTTCGTGTTCTGTAACTGAAAGAGACGAGAACACGGAACTGCTTAAGCAGTGGGGAATTTTGCAGTCCAACGATTTGGTGAGTGAGGGTGTAGAGTCGTCTATTGCATCAGAGATAACCACAGATAAACATGACCCCAGAGAGCATACAGAGCCTGAATGTAGTGTTGAACAAGCACTATTTTCATTGCCAATAGAAAGGTTGCCAACAAATGAGGAACAAAATGAGCATTTCAACTTGTCTGAAGTCAGTGGTGATCATCAATCACAGGATGCTGAAAGTAAAGTGCATGAACAGGAAATTAAACCAACAGAAATGCCTCAAACTGAATACTCATCTGAAATGTTGATACATGATGCCACAGAGAATCCTGAAATCACCTCTGGAAACCTGACAGACCAAACTGAAGTCAGTGATACACACCAATCTGAGTTGAGTGTAAACGGTACTGATGATTCTCCTTTCAAGCAGGACATTTCAAATCCTGATGACAAACAAGATGAGCGTCCTATGGAGGAAAGCAACTTTGAGACTTTAGAGCAGAATAATGAGGATTATCATGTTTATGATACCAAGAAAGCACCAATCAGCGACATAGAAAGAGTAGACACTGCGCAAGGTCAGGTGTATGAGATGGGAAGCCGATTAGAGGATGATATAAACCCTAGTGATGAACAAACAAGTCATCAGGAGAAGGAAGGACACTTTGATAAAATGGAGGTGAGTGAATCCTCTTTACAAACCCTGCAATCAGAAATAAATGCTCCTTTTGATTCCCAACATCATACCAGGGATAATGAACCCCTGGAAACAACAGAAATGTCATTAACAACAGAGACAGCAGTGCAGGAAAAAACAAATGAAACCATGCTGGAAGGAACTGACAAATTCAACACTGCTGAGACTGAAGATGTTAGTGATCAAGTTAAAGAAAAGGAACATGGTGGCACACATATTGGCACTGATGTACCTTTAAGTTCAACAGTAGATCAACAGACGATCGACCAATCAAACATCAGGGAGATGCCAGATGATGAACTAACTAATGTGTGTTCTGTAACTGAAAGAAAGGAAAGAGATGAGAACACGGAACTGCTTAAGCAGTGGGGAATTTTGCAGTCCAACAATTTGGTGAGTGAGGGTGTAGAGTCGTCTATCGCATCAGAGATAACCACAGATAAACATGACCCCAGAGAGCATACAGAGCCTGAATGTAGTGTTGAACAAGCAATATTTTCATTGCCAAAAGAAGAGTTGCCAACAAACGAGGAACAAAATGAGCATTTCAACTTGTCTGAAGTCAGTGGTGATCATCAATCACAGGATGCTGAAAGTAAAGTGCATGAACAGGAAATTAAACCAACAGAAATGCCTCAAACTGAATACTCATCTGAAATGTTGATACATGATGCCACAGAGAATCCTGAAATCACCTCTGGAAACCTGACAGACCAAACTGAAGTCAGTGATACACACCAATCTGATTTGATACTGAAAAGTGTTAATGCTTCTCTTACCAATCAGGAAATTTCAAATCCTGATGACAAAGAGGATGAGCATCATACAGAAGAAAGCAATGTTGAGCCTTTAGAGCAGAAAAATGAGGATTATCATGTTTATGATACCAAGAAAGCACCGATCAGTGACATAGAAAGAGTAGACACTGCACTAGGTCAGGTTTCTGAGGTGGAAGGCCAAGTAGAGGATGATGTAAAACCTAGTGATGAACAAACAGATCATCAGGAGAAGGAAGGACTCTTTTCCGAAATTGAGGAGAGTGAATCTTCTTTGCTAACCCTACAATCAGAAGTAAATTCTCCTTTTGATTCCCAGCATCAGCAAAATGACACAGGCTTCAACCCCCTTGGGAACAGAAGAAAACTGGGGTCTAGCCGCAGAAATAGAGGAAGACGTCATGTCAAGGACCCTGATGCTGAATCATACCATGAACCTACAGAGGATGTTGTTGGAAATACCAGAGATAATGAACCCCTGGAAACAACAGAAATGTCAGTAACAACAGAGACAGCAATGCAGGGAAAAACAAGTGAAACCATGCTGGAAGGAATCGACAAATTTGACACTACTGAGGCGGAAGATGTGAGTGATCAGGTTAAAGAAAATGAACATGTTGTCACACTTGTTGGCACTGATTTACATTCAAGTTCAACAGTAGATCAACAGACAATCGACCAATCAAACATCAGGGAGATGCCAGATGAGGAGCTTCCCAGTTCGTGTTCTGTAACAGAAAAGGAAATGGACGAGGACACAGAGCTGCTCGGGCAGTCAGGAATTTTGCAGTCCAACAATTTGGTGAGTGAGGATGTAGAGTCGTCTATCGCATCAGAGATAACCACAGATAAACATGACCCCAGAGAGCATACAGAGCCTGAATGTAGTGTTGAACAAGCACTATTTTCATTGCCAAAAAAAGAGTTGCCAACAAATGAGGAACAAAATGAGCATTTCAACTTGTCTGAAGTCAGTGGTGATCATCAATCACAGGATGCTGAAAGTAAAGTGCATGAACAGGAAATTAAGCCAACAGAAATGCCTCAAACTGAACACTCATCTGAAATGTTGATACATGATGCCACAGAGAATCCTGAAATCACCTCTGGAAACCTGACAGACCAAACTGAAGTCAGTGATACACACCAATCTGATTTGATACTGAAAAGTGTTAATGCTTCTCCTACCAATCAGGAAATTTCAAATCCTGATGGCAAAGAGGATGAGTATCATACAGAAGAATGCAATGTTGAGCCTTTAGAGCAGAAAAATGAGGATTATCATGTTTATGATACCAAGAAAGCACTGATCAGCGACATAGAAAGAGTAGACACTGCACTAGGTCAGGTTTCTGAGGTGGAAGGCCAAGTAGAGGATGATGTAAAACCTAGTGATGAACAAACAGATCATCAGGAGAAGGAAGGACTCTTTTCCGAAATTGAGGAGAGTGAATCTTCTTTACAAACCCTACAATCAGAAGTAAATTCTCCTTTTGATTCCCAGCATCAGCAAAATGACACAGGCTTCAACCCCCTTGGGAACAGAAGAAAACTGGGGTCTAGCCGCAGAAATAGAGGAAGACGTCATGTCAAGGACCCTGATGCTGAATCATACCATGAACCTACAGAGGATGTTGTTGGAAATACCAGAGATAATGAACCCCTGGAAACAACAGAAATGTCAGTAACAACAGAGACAGCAATGCAGGGAAAAACAAGTGAAACCATGCTGGAAGGAATCGACAAATTTGACACTACTGAGGCGGAAGATGTGAGTGATCAGGTTAAAGAAAATGAACATGTTGTCACACTTGTTGGCACTGATTTACATTCAAGTTCAACAGTAGATCAACAGACAATCGACCAATCAAACATCAGGGAGATGCCAGATGAGGAGCTTCCCAGTTCGTGTTCTGTAACAGAAAAGGAAATGGACGAGGACACAGAGCTGCTCGGGCAGTCAGGAATTTTGCAGTCCAACAATTTGGTGAGTGAGGATGTAGAGTCGTCTATCGCATCAGAGATAACCACAGATAAACATGACCCCAGAGAGCATACAGAGCCTGAATGTAGTGTTGAACAAGCACTATTTTCATTGCCAAAAAAAGAGTTGCCAACAAATGAGGAACAAAATGAGCATTTCAACTTGTCTGAAGTCAGTGGTGATCATCAATCACAGGATGCTGAAAGTAAAGTGCATGAACAGGAAATTAAGCCAACAGAAATGCCTCAAACTGAACACTCATCTGAAATGCTGATACATGATGCCACAGAGAATCCTGAAATCACCTCTGGAAACCTGACAGACCAAACTGAAGTCAGTGATACACACCAATCTGATTTGATACTGAAAAGTGTTAATGCTTGTCCTACCAATCAGGAAATTTCAAATCCTGATGGCAAAGAGGATGAGTATCATACAGAAGAATGCAATGTTGAGCCTTTAGAGCAGAAAAATGAGGATTATCATGTTTATGATACCAAGAAAGCACTGATCAGCGACATAGAAAGAGTAGACACTGCACTAGGTCAAGTTTCTGAAGTGGAAGGCCAAGTAGAGGATGATGTAAAACCTAGTGATGAACAAACAGATCATCAGGAGAAGGAAGGACTCTTTTCCGAAATTGAGGAGAGTGAATCTTCTTTACAAACCCTACAATCAGAAGTAAATTCTCCTTTTGATTCCCAGCATCAGCAAAATAACACAGGCTTCAACCCCCTTGGGAACAGAAGAAAACTGGGGTCTAGTCGCAGAAATAGAGGAAGACGTCATGTCAAGGACCCTGATGCTGAATCACACCATACACCTACAGAGGATGTTGTTGGAAATACCAGAGATAATGAACCCCTGGAAACAACAGAAATGTCACTGACAATAGAAACAGCAATGCAGGGAGAAACAAATGAAACCATGCTGGAAGGAACTGACAAATTCAACACTGCTGAGACTGAAGATGTTAGTGATCAAGTTAAAGAAAATGAACATGTTGTCACACTTGTTGGCACTGATTTACATACAAGTTCAACAGTAGATCAACAGACAATCGACCAATCAAACAGGGAGATGCCAGATGAGGAGCTTCCCAGTTTGTGTTCTGTTACAGACAAAGAAAGCAAGGAAACAGACGAGGACACAGAGCTGCTCAAGCAGTCGGGAATTTTACAGACCAACTATTTAGTGAGTGAACCACATGTGAAATCAAGAGCTTTAGAGTCCTCAATCACATCAGAGATAACCACAGATAAACACAACCCCAGAGAGCATACAGAGCCTGAAGTCAGTGATCATCAGTCAGAAGATGCTGAAAGTAAAGTGCATGAACAGGAGATTAAGCCAACAGAAATGCCTCAAACTGAACACTCATCTAAAAGGTTGATACATGGTGCCACAGAGAATCCTGAAATCACTTCTGGAAACCTGATAGACCAAACTGAAGTTAGTGATACACACCAATCTGAGTGGGTTGTTAAAAGTACTTATGATTCTCCTTTCAAGCAGGACATTTCAAATCCTAATGACACAGAAAGAGTAGACACTGCATTAGGTCATTTGTATGAGATGGAAGGCAGAGTAGAGGATGATATAAAACCCAGTGTTAAACAAACAGATCATCAGGAAAAGGAAGGAGTCTTCTCTGAAATGGAGGAGAGTGAATCCGCTTTACAAACCCAGCAATCAGAAGTAAATGCTCCTTTTGACTCCCAACATCAGCAAAACGACACAGGCTTCAACCCCCTTGGGAACAGAAGAAAACTGGGGTCTAGCCGCAGAAATAGGGGAAGACGTCATGTCAAGGACTCTGATGCTGAATCATACCATAAACCTACAGAGGAAGTTGTTGGAAATACCAGGGATAATAAACCCTTGGAAACATCATTAACAATAGAGACAGCAGTGCAGGAAAAAACAAATGAAACCATGCTGGAAGGAATTGACAAGTTACACACTGCTGAGACTGAAGATGTTAGTGATCAAGTTAAAGACAATGAACATGTTGTCACATTTGTTGGCACCGATATACATTCAAGTTCAACAGTAGATCAACAGACAATGGGCCAATTAAATATCAGGGAGATGCCAGATAAAGAACTTCCCAATGTGTGTTCTGCACCAGAAATAGAAAGCAAGGACAGAGACAAGGACACAGGATTGTTAAGGCAGGATGGAAATTTACAGACCAACTTCTTGGTGAGTGAATCACGTGTGGAATCAGCAGATTTAGAATCCTCTATCACACCGGAGATGACCACAGATAAACACAGCCAGAGAAAACATACTGAAATTGAATGCATTGTTGAGCAAGCAGTCTTTTCATCATCAAAAGAAGATTTGTCTACAGATGAGGAACATAAAGAGCCAAAAGTCAGAGGAGCTCATCATTTACAGGATGCTGTAAATGAAGAGGAGGTCAAGTCAACACAAGTGCAAGAAATGCATCAAATTGATAACACCTCAGTTATGGAGATTGAATCTTCTTTACAAACACTGCAATCAGAAATGAATACTCCTTTGGACTCCCATCCTCTGGACAATTCTCAGAGTATCAAAGAGCAAACTCACACAGGCTTCAGTTCCACAGGGAATAGAAGGAAATTGGGGTCAAGCCGAAGAAATAAAGGACGACTGCACGTCGAGGACATGACAAAAATATCTTTGGTAACGGAGACAACGAGGCAGGAAGAATTAAAAGAGCAAACCGGCCTAGACTTCAAATCCGCTGGGGAAATGAGAAAAATTAGATTGGCTGTAAATGATGGAGAAAACACAGACAAGATCTTTGCAGAAGACACACTTTTGTCACAGAATGTGATGGACAACAGTACAAACTTGACAATAGACATTGCTTCAAGCTCAGGCAAACATGATGTAGTCAAATCCAATAAGGAAGTCAGTGATGAGGAAAATAAGCTCATGAAAGAGTCTGATCATTTAAATCAGCTTACAGGATGTGACGCAGTTAAAACGGACTTGATACAATCACCAGAAGTCTCAGTTTGGAAAGACGATGCAGACATACAGAGTATCTCTTATCATGATGACAGTGTAACAGCCAGGTTAATTGCTTCAGATGCTCTTGAGCAAGAAGAAGCCTTTCATGTCCAAAACACGGAAGCTTTACCCAGTGACAAAGAAATTAGTATGCAAAAGACAAATGATACATTAGAAACTGTGAGAGATGTCATAATAAAAGACTTAAGTACAGGACGGGAGAGTTCAATGTATGTACAAGGTTCTGGACAGGATGAAGATGGAGAACAATTTGAAGATTCTATGAAGAAAGATCACAAAGACAGAGAAATTAATGTTGAACTGTTTTCTGCTGAACACAGCAAAACTGATGCTCCATCTGACATTGGTCTTGAGGAAAAGTTAAGAGCAGAGCCAGCTGTGGATGTGTCTGAGGAAAATGGAATTTCCAGCAAACAAGAAAAAACTCATTTAGACGGCAGTGAAACTTTGCAAGTAGAACCCAAACAGAGGAGGAGAAAGATGGGCTCTACTCGCCGGAGTCAACTCAATAGAAAACCAGAGGAAAAGAGAACAGAAACAATAGATAGTGACTTTAACACAGAGGCTGACATGAAAAATCTTGACAAGAGGGGAGTAGTGGAGGAGTTACCAGTGACTGTAGCTGCAGAAGTGTCACCCAGTGAAAAAGCAAAACCATCACTGAGTCCTGCCTCTCACAATGAAGAAGTTGTTGATCCTGTTAAGTTTGTTCAGGTAGCTGATGTGAGGGAGAGTGAGAGAAATGTAGATGTTAGTGTGGAGCCATCACAGATAGATGATTTTACAGCCGTTGAGGTGGATATAGCATCTGTGCTTCCTGGAGATAACTCAATAAATCCATTGCTCTCTGCTAATACTGAAGACACTACAGAGGAGAGTTTTGCGTCTTTATGTGAGACCACACAGAGTGCACAAAATGATGAGGATAGGCCAGAGAGTGTAAGTGTTACAAATAACCAAGCTCTGAAATCAGCAGAGCAACCTGATGTGGCAGTTTTGGATATTGTGAAATCCGAAGTCAGAGGAGGAACTGGAGAGGAGCATTTGAGTGCCCAGGCAAGTGAAGAAGAGCCAGACAACATGAATGAAGGAGCTCACAATAAAAATCCCGAGGGGAAGAACAGGAGAAGAAAGTTGGGCTCCTCCAGAAGGAATCTCCCATCGCGAACCAAGCGGGAAGACTTGCATCAAAAGCAAGAAGTGGATGATGAGGCAACAGAGGCTGCAACTAATGTGGGAGATGTAAAGACTGAAAGTTTGTCAGGCATCATTGAAGATGAGGAGCAGCTTCACGTGGCAGACAAAGACATTGGCTCTGAAGAAAGGAAAGAAACAGTGTTTGAAACAGAGGAGCATGGCCACACAGGTGAGTCTCAAGAAAATCCTGTTTCTGGTGGCCAACTAGTGGAAACAGAGCATCAACCAACTCCAAATGATCCCTCTGCCATACCATCCTCTTCACCCAAACAAGATTCAGTGTCAGAATTGACATCTAGTGGGAAAAGAAGAAAAATGGGATCTCACCGGAAGTCACATGGACACCAAAACAATGAAAACCAAACTGCAGGAGGGGACAGAATAACAGATACACAAAATGGGCAAGATGTCAGAGGTACCCGGGATCAAAGTGCCATCAAGACAACTGAAGAGCTGAGAGAAAAGTCCTTGGGCCTGGACAAAATACCAGAGGTAAGCAGCAAGACTCATTTTTATTTGTAGAATTTTTAGTAGGAATCTTCAAATATGATTCACATTGTACCTTAACTAATGAACAGACAATTGTTTGCAATGTATTTTAATTAACTTAATAGTTATGACCACTTCTTAACAAACTCTCTAAACATTGTGCGGCTTTATCATATTTATACCATCATGCCTTGAGCCTGAAGTGCATAATTATTATCAGAAATTTGGCTTGTGTGTTCTGAGCACAGTGAGTAGTGTGTGCAGTACTTCCCATTTACATTAAACCTCTTGCACACTGGTCAAGTGTTTGTTGCAAGAAGAACAAAATGACACAATGACCCAAAATGAGGAACGTGCGGTTCATTAGACAAGTTTCACATGCTGAAAAGGAGAACATAAACATGTATCTTGCTTCTTGATCTTTACGGTGGTGTGTATTTTTGTTAAAGTGTTCAGCTGATATTTGTGCACGTAGGAAGTGATGACAGCCAATCAAGAATCTGTGGCAGATGGGCTACCAAAACAAGCATTTAATGCAAAGCTAAACTTAACAACAGAGAAAAGGCCTTGCACAGATGTTTTTCTTGTGACAAACATCTACTCATTTATTAAAATACTCTTTTTCATGTACAGGTACAGGTGTTAAATCGTGGTGGTTTTTAAGAGTATCAGTAGGAGTACAAATAATACAAATTCCTAAACATTTGATAATATACTCATAACATTTTACAAAACAAACGTTTCACTTCCTCTGTGCCGGGGGATTCCTGGGAAACCTGCAAAATACAAAGTTTGAACCTGCAAATTAAGGTAACACTCTTTTCATTTGCAAAAACAAAAGGGAAAACAACATACTGAATATCAAACTATCATAGAATTGAAGATGAGATCTACAATCAAAGTAGAAGCTCCTCTGCTGTCACCTCATGATTGAGATGTTTTTTTGTCTGTGCAGGTTGATGAAAGTGACAAGACACCATCATCTAACATCAGCACCTCAAAGGAAGGAGAGCACTCACGGCCTGTGAGGTAAGTCTGACACTGAGAAACAAAGATAAAAACGATGCAGCGTCTGAGGCTTGTCCAGCTAGCTGATTAGCTTAGCACAAAACATTGATTTATCTGGTTGGGTTGGTATTCAAGATGAAGATTTATTCATATCAACATGGATCAAATAAATCTAATACAGCCTCATTAATTTAATCACAGGCACATTAAGTATATAAAGCAATAAACATCCAGCTACAAAAAAATATTGTAGAAAGTCTGATTTTGTACGTAACTGTGCAGGTTAATCAGAATCAGGGAATGGTTCTTATATCAAGAGTTCTGTGACGTGTACTACACCCTTTATTTCAACATAAGTCCTTTTTACACAGAGATGGTGCTATAGGGCTATAGCCTCTTCTTTATACCGCGCTTTCATTCTTACACAGAACCAAACAAGATGGCAGAATTTTCCGCTCCAGTGTGTGATTATACACTTCATGCTGGCATCACACAATCAAAAGAGGTGTGACATGTAGCACATCAGCGCCGGCCTCTATCCATTTCCATCCATTTTCCACAACCGCTTATTCTGCTGGGGGTCGCGGGGGGGCTGGAGCCTATCCCAGCTGACAATGGGTGAGAGGCAGAGTACACCCTGGACAGGTCGCCAGACTATCGCAGGGCTGACATGTAGGGACAGACAACCAGTCATGCTCACATTCACACCTACGAGCAATTTAGGGTCACCAATAAACCTACCCTGCAAGTCTGTGGAGTAACCAGAGAAAACCTACGCTGACACAGGGAGAACATGCAAACTCCACACAGAGGGGCTCCCCCACCCTCTTGCTGTGGGGCAACAATGCTAACCTCTGCACCACCATGCCGTTGGCCCCTGATATGACATAAAACATATGTGACACAAGCGCTTGATAAACAATAACAACGGCAAACCATGACAGTAACAATAATTTACTACCTGATCTCATCCTCTGCTCAGAGGGAAAGGAGCTCTCCAATCTCATTGTTTTCCCAACTTGCAGCCTCTGTTCTTCTTCTTTGAGTTAGCCACTAACTGCTAACACCTACTTTTTAAATCTCCTGCGGAGGGTGGCACGCATAGCAAGTCATTAGAAAACAGTCCCATCCTGCCGGCTGTCCTGTTTATATACACACTGTTTCAGCCTCTAACTTAAGCAAGCCTTAAATCTGTATTGATCCTCACTGAGTTCACACGTTACAGTAGCTTAAGAGTCAGAAGTATAAGAAAAAGGAAAAAAAAAAAAAAATACCGGGTGATAAATAAAGTTAAACAAGATGAAAAACATGCCAGAGCTACAAATAAGATAAAATAAACATAAAAAAATTATACACTACACACCTTTTACTTATACAGATACTGTATGTCCATGATAAATAGTTGCAGTAATAGCGTAGTTTTTTTAAAAATGTAGAAATATATGTGTATATGTATTATTGCACAGTAACTAGTAAACTATTGCACAAGAAGGAAGTTGCACAAGAATGTTGCATAGTATGAATATAAAGGATATGTTTACGTGCCGATATAATATAATGGCATAGTAGAATTATGTAATGACAGATATAAAGGACAATTACACAGTATTAAGTATATGTAATGTATATTGTAGTAATATATACTATATGATAATATTATATATATATATATATATAATACAAACTATAAAAGCAGGCTTGTTTTTTTGAGTATGTTATTGACATTTTTGGTTTGCTGTGGGTTTTTATCTATCTATCTTTAGAACAGGCTGATTAGCAGTCTATAGTGAGTTCACTGCTAGTCTGACTGCAGAAACAGCAGAGATGAAAGTAACATGATGTTGCTGCCACAGAGTCATTCTGTCCCTCAGTGTTACCAATGTAAAATATGAGATGTTAGAAACATTCATTTGTCTCTCTGACAGTTTAACAGGCAGCTACAGGGGGGGAGGGGACAGACAGAGGGGTAGCGTGCAGTGACATAGCTGTGGGCTGGTTCTCATTAGTGTGTGCTCCGTTGTAGGCATGTAAAATGAGATGTGTTTGTAGGCTTGTAAATGATTTAGGAGTGTTTTTCCTGAGGGGAGGTATGTTTGAAATTCTTGGGTTTTTGTTTTTTGTTTTTTCATTTGTATTTGCTACATGCCTTCTGTGAGGTGTGTGTTTGCAAGTATGTTTTTTGTATTGATTGAGCCCTTTGTCGAATGTTTAATTAATCCAAGATTGTTTTATTCCTTGGGGGACAATGAAAGCAACACTGACCACAACCGTGTAATATGTCTTTTTGTAAATAATCGTGCTATAATTTACAATAAGACTCCTTATTTTTATCCGATGTGATCATTACTTTAAGTTGATAACGATAACACTTAAAAATTCAAATTGTATCTTGTTTTTTTTCTGTTATCTCCACTTATAATACAAATATGTGGTAATATTATGTAGAGTTCAGCAGATTAATTTGTCAGAGAAATCCAAACATTTGGTGGTGGTTTCATATGTCTGACAACTAAAAACTCACCTGACTATTTTTTAGTATGCTGCTGTATACACTGTGTTTGTTTGAACTACGCTTCGTTGTCTGTTCCACAGTGACAAGACGCCTCAACCAGTGACTCCAATTCAACACCGTTCTGCTGATATCCGCCTGGGTCAAGAGAGTCAGACGAAGTTCTCTCTGGGTAAACAGAACATTAATACTTCCACACCAGCAGTCAGAGATAATGAGAGAGGGAAGCTGAATATGGAGAAATGGAAATATATTATGTGACCAGATGGTGTTTCTGCTTTCAGCAGGTAATGCCAGAGCAGCAGATCTTAGATCTAACGCTTACAATGTGATGATGATTGGAGACAGCAGTGTGGGCAAAACCTCCTTCATAAAAAGAGCTCAAAGTGGGAAGTTTTCTTTAGATTTACCCGCCTCTGTTGGTAAGATCCCGATCTTTATCCTTTCATATTCTATAAATGTGTGTAAATATACAGAATAATGTTACATAAATACACATTGTAGGTCTGGATTCCTGCATGTGGACTGTGGTAGTGGAAGGAAAACCTGTGGTGCTGCAGTTGTGGGATACTGCCGGTCAAGAAAGGTAAGTTTCCTTTTACAGTACAATATTAGGACCAATTATTGCTGTTGTAATCAAACATATGAACATAGGTGAAAGCATTTTGTGAATCATTTTTCAGAATAAATATTTTTTGCAATGTTGAATAAGTAGAGGTGTAGAATTGTTACTATAAACTACATCCAGCATTAACAATAACTATTTATGTGTTTTGGGGTCAGTCTGATCCATGCCGATCTCAAAATTGCCATGAAAGAAGACAAAATACATTTGTTAGCTTCATGTGCCTCATGACTAGCAGCTGGAAGCACTTCATGATAACTGGTGTTGGTATGATCTGGTAGTCACTTTTTTAGCATCGGGTTAATGGTGGCAATCTTAGGGATGACGTATTTGCTAATGGAGATGTTTGTTTGAAGATGTCTGTAAGCAGAGTCGATATTTGTGGCACAATTTCACTCATTTCCTACGTGCATGGAGAAGGGAAATAGTCCTAAGGAGTCCGAACTCCACTTGTTCAGGATTCCCACAGTACTAGAAAAGTTGTAAAAGTAGAAACACTATTTTCCAGGCCTTGAAATGTTTTGGCATTTACAGAATGTTTTGGAAAACTTTTGAATGTACATGGTTTGGGCTGTTTGAAAAATATGTTTATTTAAATCCCAAAACATGTCCAACATTATGTGACATACACTCCTTGTATAATTAATTTAAAATCGAGGGCTGCCCTGCATGACTGTTACTAGTGCTAGTATCATTTGATACTACATCATCACTAAGGCCACACCCCCTTTTGGGGGAAGAGAAGCGCACAGTCACATAGTGAGAAAACAAGAAGAGGCTGAAAAGTTGTTGTGTAGCTTGTTTAGGTGTTCTCACTGAGATCTGAGGCACATGAGACTCATAAATATTCACTCTTAGACTGATAAATTGTTAAATGATGCTGGTGACAGTTTGATGGATAGCTAACGTTAGCTTGTGTGAGGCTGCTGCAGTAACATCACAGTCATACATTATAGCAGCATCAGACTGTTATCTCCAGCTAAATCTTAGCCTGTAGATCAAACAGGTTGGTTATTTACGGACAACACATAACCTAACGATACATGGTGATTCAATCAGTCATTTCTGAATGGACCGCAAGTGACTCGCAAATGTGTCAAGGTTATAAAAAACACACTTTAATTTGTAAGTACGGTGAATTTCCAGCACAGCTGTGTTTTTGAAGTGCCGTTTCCTCCTGTAACGTTAGTGTCTAACGTTCAGCCACTTGACTGAGACAGCAAACTAGCTCGATGACATGGCCAAACGTGAGTATGATGCTGAACGTATTAAACTGTGTGGACCTTGAACTAATGAGTAAGGAGGAATCTGGACCCTGTGGCTGGACCAGTTGGGAACCACTGATCTAAAGGATCTTTGGATTTATTTTTTCCAAAATGGGTCGTGGCTTTGACATTCTGCTATGTACTCATATGTTCTGCAAATGCCTGGAATGTGCATGTTTAATAATGCATGGCTGCACTGCTACATTCCCATTTTAAAGTACTTAAATACAGTGATGAAAATGGGGTAAAAAATGTAAATTATTGCAGAAAAGTTTTAGAAAGTTTTGAAAATTCTGTGGTAAGAATGTGGAACTCTGCTTGTAGTGTAAAAGCAACTTTGCTGTGGGACCAACACAAATTGGGTGATGCTGATGGCCCTGATGAAGGTCACAAGCTGAGAGATGTCTGTAAGAGATCTTAAAGCTAAAGGATCATTCCCTGGCTTTATGATGTACCTGGCTGGTCATTGGTAGGAAGGTCATAGGCCAGAAGTCATTATGTGAGAGGGAAGCATCACTGTCAAAGGTACAGGGTGTTATTTTGTGGTTTAAGATGACCTGATTGTTGTTACAGTGCTTTTTGCCTCTCTGGTGGCCCAGGACAGGTTGTCTCACTGTCACTCAATCTGAAGGCAGCACCCTGGGTTCTTAGCAGCGCATATGCCTCATCGGTCAGCCTAGACTATTGATGAGCACATGCGACAGTGCATGATTAAGTAACATCCTCTACACACTTGCTGTTGCAGCACAGTCACAGATACTGCAGATATGGGTTACCACAGGCAGCACCCTCCCTGAATGTGTGCCAGACACTGTGCCGCTCCAAACACATGAGAAGTCTCCCTCAGGCCACGTTGTAACTTGTTTCAGAACTGGTTTGCTGCACCTCAACAGTGTTTCATATGCTGGAATTAGCACAACAGATTTGGTTGCAGCAGCAGCAGAAGTGGGGTTAGTGTGGGTGCAGTGTGTGCAGACATGTTGAAATACATGTCAACAGTGAAACGTCTGTTTGGAAATGCAGGTCAGAAGTACAGTAATGTCTCTATAGAGAGCCTTCTTAATGTCAGCATTCAGGTGTAAACACCAAAACTTTATTTGTCACGTAGACTAGTTTTAACCCAGTAAAAACAACAGGCCACTGTTCATTTATGTTTTGTCATAAGACAGTTTTAAAAATGCAAATAAAAGGACATCATTTGTGGACTTAAGGTATAATAAATATGTTTTGTGTGTTGCATCGTGGAGGTAATTGCGCAATCAAGTCTTTCCAGGTAAGATGTTCAGAATACTTCTCATGAAAAAAAGCTTCAGAGAAGTCTCTGCAAACTTGACTAACGAGAATCATTAGACTGTCAGGCGCAGACGGATACACCCAAACACCCTCAGGCTATGAACTCACAGTGCGTTGTTTGTGTTAAGGATGTTCTTTTTTTTTTTTTTTAAGATGCTAAATCCCCACACAGGCTGTCTCTGATTACATTCTTTTCGATCCCTCACAGGTTTCACAGCATCACAAGACAGATTTTCCACAAAGCCCAGGCATTTCTCCTGATGTATGACATCACTTGCTCTCAGAGTTTTTCTGCAGTCAGCTACTGGGCAAGCTGTATTCAGGTTCGATTCACTTAAAGCTTTAGTGGTTTTGTTTGTGCTGTGTTCAGGGCATTTATGGGTGTGTGTGTCCCCACAGCGCTCAGGCGAGGTCAGGGCTTTATAAAATGGTAGTGACCAGGAACCAGATCACAATCAGCAGGCACTCGTGAGACTTAGCGCTGAAAATATGTAAATATAGTGAGGCAAGATGCCAAACGAGAGTAAGTCTGGCATTGGCTTTTACTTTTGGTTTCGCTGGTGAGTGTGTTTACAAACAGTAACTGGCAATCCTCCATAGTACAGTTTTAATAATTGTTTTGCAAACTACCTATAAACATTATTTGGATGGCTGTTATGATGTTGCAACTGATGATGATAATACCTTGTTGGACAGTTAATAAATACTGTGTAGTGCATCCAAAATATTTCAACTTTGCAAAAAAGTTGTTGATAGATGCATTACACAGTATTTATTAACAAGATATTATGGTCATCAGTTGCAGCTTTATAACAGCCATCTCAATACTGATTATAGATGGTTTACAAACCAATAATTAATCATTAGCAAATACTTAATATAGTATATAAATGTTCTAATGTTAACAACAATAAACTGTTAAAGTACCATAAATTATAGCATTACTAATAATTAGTAAACATCATCAATTATATTTCATTATAACTATCAATTGAGGTTTATTTATTTCTCAATTTGCCATTTATCAATGATGGTTATTATACTAATCCGGTCAACAATTAGGTAGAGTTGTTTTATAAATTTGGAAATATCTGATTAAAGAGTAACTAAACAAGTCTAAAAATGAGACCTAGTGAGGATATTTAACCTTTGATTAAATAGTTATTGTCTTATATATTATATTCTGAATATTCAAGAACTGATTCTGAATATTTTCTGAAATAAAACAAAATGACACACTTAAGCGCACATATTTACATTAACTACAAGCAATGTAAAAATGTCACATATGCATCTTTGCATTCCGACATTGACATTTGAACCTTTTCATTGTACATACAAACAAAATAAAACTTTAGGTATTAAAGATTTCGTAGGATTTAGAGCATATGGGACCTAACTGTCTGAAACGTGTGAACCTGTCTGCAAAGTCAGAGCAGTCCACACACAGGGTGTCTACAGGTCCTTAAGATGTCTTAAATTCAATGTTACAACAATAAGACCTTTTTGATTTATTGATTTTTTTATTTCTCTTAGTGAAAATGAGTGAAGCCTTTCTCTGTAAAAGTCCACATTTCTAATGTTACAAATCTTTAAAAAACTATAATACTGTTATTTTACTTAATACTTTCACCTGCTGGCAAAATGTAGATTGACCTAACTCACTCTAATGACCAACAAAACACTCACCTCTGCACAAGACCACAAATATATCAGCAACTTACCTGTGATGCTTAAATATGTAAAATACGATTTGTCCAAAAATCTGTCCTAAATCTGGTTAAAGGGTGTCTTGAGCGGGTCTTAAAAAGCATTAATACAATTGTCTGATACCTGTAGACACCCCGCACACTATAATCAAACCACTCTGTGTTTGCAGGAAGGTGCTGCAGAGGACGTGATGGTTTTACTTGTTGGGAATAAGAGTGATTGTGCAAAGCGGCAGGTAAAAACTCAGGAGGCGCAAAGTCTCGCTAAGGTACGGATCTGTGGTGTTCCTTCATTCACACTTTTATCTCAGACTATAACTATTTATGTCAAATTATCATCACCCACACTAAAGGCTCCAGTTTTACCTCCACAGGAATACAACTTTGAATTCATGGAGTGCAGCGCTGCCACAGGTGAAAATGTGGTTCAGTCTTTGGAGACTGTAGCCAGGTAAAATATTTCACATCATTGTCACTGACATTTCCTTTTGTTAGTCACGCCTACAGTACGTGATGTCCCTTTAATGTTCCTGGTTGCGTAATGTTGCCTGACATGCTGTTGTTGTGTTGTTGAAAGGATGTTGTGTCAAAGAGATGACACAAGAGAGGAGGCCATGGTGTTACACAAAGAGCCCCAAAAGAAAAAATCATCAGGATGTTGCTGAACGAGACGTGTGTCTGAAAAGTCGGTGAAGAAATCCTGCTCACAGTGGACACACACAACTGGCTGAACTGGCTTTTCAAAGATGAAAACTGGTACTCCAACCATCATTGTTCTTAATAGTTTTTATCATAAACTATATTCATTTACACAAAAGTATACAAGTTGAATTTCCTTTTCACACTTACCTTCAGATGTTTTATTATTCTACCAAGCCTTATCTTGACAATCTAGAGGACCGTTTAAAGGGACAGTAACCCCCAAATCAAAAATAGGTAAAGTATACTGTTCCACTTTTGGAAATGGAGCATTTTCAGATGAGAGAGGAAGCCACAGAGGTTTTCGATTTGATGTGCGCTCACTCTACATACCATACTGTAGAGCTGATGCATGCTTTTTTCACTGACCAGTTTTAAGTGATCAGAGGAATAATTATCACAAATGGCTAATGGATTTCTTTTTAATCATTTTGTGGGTTTTATCTTTTCTTCTTCCTCTCTGCAATAATGAAGCTTCACTCTACTGGTGCAATTCAGATGTTCACATCAAGTCAATATTTGTACAGTCTTGTTACAGGTATTTTCATTTCAGGATTCATTAACCAATCTCACTGAGAAACTAAACTGAGTATTTAAGCCTGCAGAAAAGTTTCTCAGGTACTCAGATGAAAAAAAGAAGCACCCACAAAGAGTAAGGAACTTTATAATGTTACTTTTATCATACAAATGTATATTAAATGTTGCTTTAAATTTCACTGCTGCTAAATCTTAACAAGCAAATTACCACTTGGAAGTTACAAAACATGGTATCAAAGTGCTATTATCAGTTTTTTTAATATAATAATTGAAGTCTTTTTGTAGAATATTTCGGTGTTTACAAGCAACTTGTGCAATACGCCTGTGAACAAGAGCATCCTTTCATTGTTGTAGCTGTTAAGTTCAGTGTTATTCTGTTATTACATTAAGTTATGATTTTGTACATTTACTATCTGTTCTAAATGAACGCCGTTGGCACCACTGCAGTCGTCACACAGCTGCCAGATAATCATAAATACATTTCATGCCTCTATAATTAAGACAGAGGTAGTAAAATAAATAACTATACGTGTAAATTATCTCTGTGTATTTCTGTATTACTGGTGGTTAAATACCTTTAATCAGATTGTTTTAATGTTTTGCCTCACGCTTAATAAACCTCCAGAATGGCGACTGTGTGCTCAGAGTTCATTTGTGTCCCTGTGAAAGTTGTGTGTTTGCAGACTGACAAAGACAACTGTGTTCCCACGAGAACAAAAAGTCCTTCAATGGTATGAAGAGCATGACAACAATGGCGCCACTGCAATAACCTCATAACATCCCAAAAGAGCTTTTGTGGGGAAACTAAGACACTGAGACAGCGTCCTCCAACATCATCTGAGGACACCGACTGTTACACTTAATCTGATATTAGCGATTGGTTCTGACCTCAGTGGCCACATTTACACACCGGGACAATTTATCTTCTTGCCGTCAGTCGGATAATTCAGTTTTGGGCTGGAATATGTAAACAATGTAACTTTGTTAAACATCAGAAAACATGATAACACTTTAATTTTTATGGGGCCTAATTTCAGAATATTTTCCAAATAATTTCCAATAAGTTTCCTGGAAAAAAATCAATGTGATTTGGTGCCAGTTACAGAGGAAATAGCCTCAATCTTCAAATAATAAGCTTCCAATTAATTGCTGCTGTGACTTTGAGACATTTATTCAGGGCACAGGAGGTCAGACTGATCTGGATAATTTAATTGTATTATTGTGTCAGGCATAAATAATATGCCCCGCCCAAGCAGGCTTAAAAAAAGACCATAAACCAGAGGCATGACATAAATTACAAATAAACAAATGAACCACCCAGCTGTTTAGTCAGGAGATGCCGTCAGTGAGCGACCCTTATTGTTTTCCTGAGTGATGCTCAGGCAGAAAGTTCCATTTTACCCGTGACCCTGTACACTGCAGTGTTCAACAAACTGGTTTTCACTTCACAGTGGGAGAGCTGGCTGGCAGTCTGTTGATTTTACTGACACAGATCATTACGTTGTTACACAGGTTAACAGGATATGACCAATGGTGTAAACATACCCACCAAAGCAACTGAGACAAAATCAACTTCAGTATTTTCTCCACTTGGGGGAGTATTTGTGCTGATAAAGTAGGAGCATCATGTCGTCTGCAGACCTTCAAGATTGTTGCTTTAACTTCGCTCATCATACAAAAGCCTCCACGGATGACACAAACCACTTTGTGCTAATGCAGCTCCATACAGTATTCAGAACATCAGTCTATTTAAAGATACACTGGAGTGATGGCATCCTGAGCAGAGAATGAAATCATGCTACTACTGTCTGATGCAAGGTTATTACAGTTAACTGAATGATTAAATAAATAAACTATATAACTGACACTAAAGTCTAAAATGAGATGTGAAAACACATTTTAGTTAACTGAAATAAAAATAAAACAAACAATATTGTGTGCTTAATAAACGAGTTAAAATAAAACAGAAATATACAGAACATATCTTTAGTTTTAGTCTTAGTTGATATGGTCAAGCATGAGAAGTCATTGGTGCGTATGTTCGTTCAGACCGGGATGTCTACAAGACATGAGTCGGTTGCCTTCACAAAGTATTTGTATTGTAATACCTATTCTAAAGTTTTAAAACCTCACCCCCAAATATCCCCATATTATAATTAAATAAATAGGTAAATAAAACCAAGACTGAAACTAACAAAGAACTAAACTAAAACTAAACATTTTTAAACAATAAAAACTAAAATGAAACAAGCAAATCCACTCTGGAAACTGACTTAAAATAAACTGAACTGAAAACAAAAATAATAAAAAAAATAAATAAATACTGCTGAACATGCAAAATGATAATAAGTCTGGTCCAATGTTGTCCAGCCATGCATGCATGAAGTCCTGTGAATTTTTCCCACTGGCTCATCGCCATTGGTCTACACTGCGCTCATATGGAGGTTACAACCAATATCGTGAAGGTGTCATTATTTAAGCAAAGCACCCACCCTCTGGTTCCCCTGGTTAACAATGTTAGCTCTGTCAGCACTGTTGCTGTCGTTAGCATTGTTAGCTGCTAGCCACCTCCATGTTGAGAACCATGTGCAGACAATCTCTGAATCACAGATATGCTCTGAATGTCGTATACAGCTCTTTAAAGGAGCTATATGTAAGAAATCTAAAGCAAATAGTCGTAAAATGCTCCTAATATGTCACAGAGACTAAGAAATAATGTTTATATAACATACTGATCTCACCAACAACAGTACAGCCAGAATATTCGCATTTAAAAAAAAATTACGGTCCGCAAATCATGTTTATGTTTTGAATTTGTGTTTTGGCCTGTTGCACCACCCACTGTCGTCTACCAGTCACGCAGTCAGTAGAGTCTCAGCATCAGTTACAGTTACGACTGAGCTACAGCAGCACGGCAAGCAACATAAGCAGTGACTCGCGGCAGTATTTTGAATTTGAGTGCAGAAACCGTTTTGGCCACATTCTTACGTACAGCACCTTTAAATATCTTGTCTATTGACATTAACATACAACAAAATGTTCAAATTCTTTTTTTATTTCATGAAAAATATTAAGATTTGGGGAATAAGTTAATATCACCTACACAACATTTATCAAAGGCGAAAACATTGAAACATTCATATATGAGATTCAGCAGGTCTCTATGTAGATAGAGACAAGTTTCCCTATAAAACAGAAGCATAATGTAAAGAAGCTTGTCCACTCTGATCATTTCTCCTTCAGGAACCAGAACCTCAGGTCTCTCACATCTTTTCCAACTGACGTTCAGGCTCATAGAAACACTTGTTTCAACATCTGCTCACAGCAACAAGTTATTAAATCCTACCAACTGCCGTTTCGTCACTGGTTTCATTTGTTGTCGCTGCACTCTCCTCTGGTGGTTGTGATGCTGAGTCCTTGATCTGCGTGTAGGAATACTTTTTAGTTTTCTTATTGGAGTGGTACTGTCTGATGGCCTGCATAACATCAGGAGCAGTCCAGTGGTGATGGGTGAGGGCATCCTGCAGGGTGAAGGAGCCGTCTCGGGTCCGCCTCACTCCCTTGCATGCCGCTGTGCTGCGCAGCTCAAGTCCGATCTCATGCACAACTTTGCGCAAATATTTCTGAGTTTCATTTAGACACTGCACCTCTGGAAGAGCAGAGAACATAACACCTGTGAGTATCCTGATAATTCAGTATTTTAAATTACACTGTTGGGGTCGTTACTCAAAAAAGTAGTGTGGGTCTGAGACAAGTTTGAGTATGGCAGGTTTTATCATTTTTTTCTATCTGCTCATGTTGCAGATAACTGAAGAACTTACAGTGGTGGAAAAAAGTTTTCGGACACCCTTAAAATTTTACACAATCTCAAATATTATCATGAAATATTTGTGGAAAAATCTTTTTTGTGTTTCAAAAGGTGTGGCTGCATTAGACAGATACAAACAAATACAAGTTATATTTTTTTTGTTTATTGTTTACAAGAAAAACTAACAAAACTAAATTCTTGACAGTTTCAATATGTCAGTTCTCAACATTGTCGGTATCAAAGTCAACAAATAACAGAGAATGTGTTCAAAACTGAACAAAAAATAAATAAACCATCACATCATCAAATTAATATTTAGTAGTCCTGCCAATGGCACGTAGTAGAGCTCTCACCCTGGCTGGCATGTTCCCCACGAGCCTTTCACACTGTTGAGGGGTAATCTTGTCCCATTCTTCTTGAATTACTGCTTTTAATTCTTTTAAATTCTTTGGTTTATGCTTTGAAACAGACCTTTTGATAATCCACCACAGATTTTCAATGGGGCTCATGTCTGGGGATTGAGCTGGCCACTCTAAGACCTGGATACTGTGCTCCTGCAGCCATGTTCTACTGGCCTTGGATGTGTGGCAAGGGGCATTATCTTGTTGAAACATCCAGTTTTTACCTCAACGGAACAGTGCACACGCAGAAGGGAGCATGTGGGTTTTGAGAATGGTACAATACTTGGTAGAGTTCAATGTGCCATCACAGACAGTGAGATGACCAACACCAGCAGCACTCATGCATCCCCAAACCATGATACTGCCTCCACCATGCTTGACAGTAGGTACTGTACATGCTGGAGATAATGCTTCGCCTGGCCTTCTGCGTACCCTCACATTAGTAGGAGGAAGATAAAGCTGGAAACTGGACTCATCTGACCACAAAATCTTCTTCCAATTCCTGGCTGTCCAGTTCTTGTGTGCCTGGGCCCAACAACGCCGGGCTAACCTCTGTCTCTCATTGATCAGGGGCTTCTTGATAGCCTTGTAGGACCTTAAGCCATGATCTAAAAGTCGGCCACGTACAGTGCGGGTGGAACACTGGACACCAGTTTGGTTTGACCACTGCTGCTGAAGCTCCTGTGATGTCATTCGGCAGTTTTGCCTGCACATGCAGATCAGGATGCGGTCATTTCTTGCTGAAGAAACCCTTGGACGCCCAGATCTTGGTTTGTCTTCCAAGCTGTTGGTTCGTCTGTATTTCTGCAGAGTGTATCCAACTGCTGAAGGACTGCATCTGCACTTCCTGGCTATCTGGCGGCAGCTGTACCCTTCCTGGCTGAGAATATTTATCTTCAGGCGTGTTTCCTACATTAGGTTCCTTGTTTTAGCCATTTTTGTGTCTGAAGAACTTTCAAATGTGCTGGCTTTATGTAGACACGAAGCTTGGCAACAAAAATTGTGTCTTTTAATAAAAAGAACGACCTTCATCACTGGTACCAAAATGACCCAATACTCAAAATTTCTTATGTATTTTTATGGAACCAATCAATTTTAAGTTTTTAATGTTTTTTTTAGGATTTATTTAGTATTTTGGCTGTGACTGTACTAAAAGAAATTGCACTTAAAGACCTAAGAGTGATTCTTAATGCAATATTTCACAAATGCATGGGGTGTCCGAAAACTTTTTTCCACCACTGTATGTGACACAAGTAACATCATAGCTGTTTGACTGGTAACTGTAATGTGATTACTGAATTTAGATTAGTAACAATTTACATTACTGCATTACAGACAAATGTAATGTGATTACAGTAACCACCCAACACTGTAGAATAGTGACATGAGTTTTCCTGTGTGTTCAATAGAAGATGATTTACCCAAAGTGAAGTTGGGCGGCTGGAAGCGAACGCAGCGCAGGCCTGTCAAAATAGGCTGTGATTTCCCGTCTGGACCCAGTAACCCCTGCACAGCCATCTCATAGGCCTCCTGAGAGCGCATGTCTATGTTGGAATACCTGTGAAGTATAGAGAAAAAAAATGTGATTCACATGAATATACAAGTAATGATTTAACACTTTACTGTGGCCCTGCTGAAGGCACGTTGTGGGCTGATCATTTGTGAGGGGTTTTATTTAAAAATAAAAAGCATAGAAAAAAACAGTCTAATAAGTTGGAACTTGAGATCAAAAAATATATTCAAATATTACATTAAAGAAATGTAATGAATATTAAGTGTAGTTACATTAACAAGGCCTTTTGATTGGCTCCCTGCAGAATCGCCAAGACTTTCTCCAGTTTGTCCTGCGTGATGTGACCTGTCGAACGCATTATAACAACAACAACAACAACATTATTAACAACAATATTTTAAGTTCACATAGAGTCAAAGACACAATAACTAACGCAGTGACTTTAAGATTTGTTTAGACAGTGATTAGTCTAATGTGTAAAATTTAGTGGCATCTAACATTGAGGTTGTGGATTTTTTTAGCTTATTTCTGGGGCCTTATTTGAGAGGGAGGTGTACGACATGCAACAAAGGTCCCGAGGCTTGAATCGAACCCAGGACCTTGCGGTTTTGTGGCATGCACTCTAACCACTCAGGTAGTGGTGCTTTTGGTAAATTGCAGCTTGCAACCAACTCAAATGCCTGTAGATGCCGCTAAATCCTACACACTTTAATACATAATGTTTGCTCCATTGAAAGGTGGAGATGGTACAAATGCACAGATGCAAATACTAGTATGCTAGATGGATACATGTAATGTGAAAGGCAATGACTGAATAAACTGATTAAAACATACAGTAAAAGGTAAGGTATCCTACCGTACGTGGATCTTTCCACAACTTTGCCTGTGTGAGAGAAATCATTTGTTGCAGTCCCAAATTCACCCTCTACTGTGTAATCCTGAAACACATCAAACAGCATTAAACCTGCGTTTATTTTATCTTTAATGATCTGATGTAAAACCAGCAGAAATGATGAGTTACCCTCGTGACTCGTGTTCTGTAGAAATCATTCAAGGCTCTGTTTCCATTCCCAACAGCCAGAACTGAAGTTAAAAAAAAGGTTTGAATATTATGACTGACTTAATATATTAAATACAGTCTGAAACATATTTTCTCATGGGATCAACTCTAAAATCATACCGAGAACACCAGAGGAGAACGCATCCAGACGATGTCCTACTCCAACTCTAATGTGCTGGAATTCAGGTCCAGTCACTAAAACACACAGAAGATTATATATACAGTCAATGTGCACAGAAATAACAACTCATTCTAACATCATTCCACTGAATATCGTCCTGCACCTCTGAAGTCACCGATGAGCCATCAGGCCAGACTTTATCTAAGGCCTGTTAAAACATGACCAGGGGGGTAAAATGTGGAGTGAAAACTAAATCAGATATTTTTCAGAGCAGCCATTTTGACATGTCAACAGGTGCAACTAATAACATTACAATCACAATGTTACCATGAGAGTGGTCTGTGAATCTACATAATTAGCAGCAATGAAAAAAACAAGATTGCAGATAGGGGCAAAGTTAAAACTTCTATTTCATTTTCTCAACAGAAACTAATGAGGAAAGTGTGAGAAGAAACCTGCAGCTCATGTTGTTAATAATATTATTTATCCCATAAATATATTACTGTCTGTCTTCAATGTCCTGTTGGTAACAGCTGTACAGTGGCTCAAAAGCAAAAAAAAAATAGCATTTTAACCAAGTCATTACTTGTTATAAAGTTTAAGTCACATTACTTATGGAAGTAAACTACAAATGGCTCATACTAGCAGTGATTTTGGGAGCACTGTTGTAACAAATATTAATGATTTGAGTTAATCTTTAGAGCATGATGAGACTTGTGTGATGATGTGTATGAACATTAAACAGGTGACGCAGGAGATGAAGCAGTGAGGTGGACACACTTACCCAGAGGGTGTTTGGACAGTACTGGCACAGAGGTTGCACACAGTGTGAGTCCCTTGGGTCCTTCAGTCTCACTGACTGGCTGTGCCAAGAAGCGGACCTCCTGAGGAAGTGGCTGGGACGGTGTAGCATTTACACCTATAAGAGGACACATACAGGAGTTAGCAGGATACAGAGATTTATATGGAAGTCAAGGTTAAAGACAATGCTGAGTAACTTATTAAATGCTGATCTGCACATGAGCTGTATCAAGGTTTACGGTCACAGCAGACATGGAAAAATTAAAATCGCACGTGTATTTGATGGACCATCAGATGTTGTCCTCACCTTTCAGAAGATTTGTCTCAATGGTGTCCCTCACGAGTTTCCAGTGTACACCAGAGGGTTTGTACACACAGAACAGACCCTCTAACCTCCGAAACATCCGAATAGCTGGAGTTGCCATTGTGTTAGTAACTTAGGGTCATCCCGATCTCTTTTAAAAATATACTGGGTTACATCTCTTGAGACTTTTTCACGGGTAACGGTCGTTTGTTGTCTAAGACATGAGTCGCTCTACTTGACTTTACTGCATGGTAACTTCCGCGCATGCGTACTGTCTGATAAATGTAAGCTTGGTAGCTGCTTCCTGAACATACTGCCGCCTGCTGGACTGGATGTACAACAGGAAGTTCTACTACTGCACAACAAGCCGTATGTAAAGCAAAACACCAGCATAAAAATAAGCAGCAGTATGAGTGGTTGGAAACTGGAGAGTCAGAAAATAGCTGACTAATTCTGGGAAGGGTAGTTTGGGAGATTAAACAGCGTAATGGACGAAGGAGGAGCTAAAACTCCAGAAGATGGCAATAGCTGCCTTAAAAAGCAGCGAAGAAGAAGACAGGCGGCTAACTGTAGCTGTGACGTTAGCTAACCTGTATAACAACAGCCGTTGACAGTTGTGAAGCTTTGACCACGGTACGTGTTAACAGTCACCGCTTCTGTAGTGTGTTTGCTGAAGTAGGTTTCTAACGTAACCCCATGTATAAAAAATGGTGACAAATATACAAAGCAGCGAGCGTAGTGTTAGCTAGTAGTAATAATGATTAATTTACAAGGACATTAACGTTACATAGTCAGGTAAATGTCAGGATATGTGGTTCTAACGTTACGCCGGTCAGAACCTGTAACCAGGACGACAGTGACGACACCGTGTAGTTAAGTGACGTGATTCCCCAACGTGTGTGTAGTAACAAGCGTCAGCAGGGATGAACAGTAACATCAGATTAGCACATAACGGGGTTGTCTGGTTCACAGACACGTCAGTCACCCTGAATAACATGTATACCACAATATGTTAACAACACAGAAGTAGGACATTTTGTCTTTTGGGGGCCGGTAGGGGTCAAAGACACACGTCACAGCAGAAAAAGCACAGGTGTAAATAATACAGTTGGGGGCTATAGCTGTTGGGGAGTGTTGTTGCCATAAGGAGGTTCACTTGATGTGCAACAAAGGTGCCTGTGTAGGTGGTTTGTGTCAGATGACATGCCAGGATTTTTCCCAGCAGAGCATTGCATTGCACCAAGATGATCAAATTTATTAACTTCACCTGTCATTAATGTTGTGGCTGATCGGTGTATACTTTAAAGTGACGACTCAGCGGTTTTAAACAGTCTTTTATCTGATTCTTTCCCATATAAGAACCCTGGTGAGGAAACATTTACTTAACATTTTTTTCTCAGGTTTTGCTTAGACATTAATCTGTCTCATGTCTGTTGGTCTGTAGGTGTAATGCGAGCTCCTCTGCGCTGGGTGCTATGGGATGTGAAAGACACCCTGCTGAAGGTGCGTGCATCTGTGGGACAGCAGTACTGCAAGGAGGCTGAACGCGCGGGCTTGAACCTCAGTCATGTGGAGGTGGAAAATGCTTTCGGCCAGGCATATCGACACTATTCCAGCAGATACCCAAACTATGGCATCACTCAGGGCCTGGATGGACGGTCCTGGTGGATGGGGTTGGTGCGGGACACTTTCTCCCAGTGCAGGGTACAAGACCCAGCCTTGCTCGATACAATTGCTCACAACCTTTATCATAACTTCAGTAATGCAGAGAACTGGGAGGTAAATGACAGATGACACATGTGGCATACACATTGAATGAATAATAAGCAGCACAGAAAATGTCAACATACAGTTGTATATTGTTGTTTTGTTTCAGGTATTTCCAGATTCAAAAAAGGCTCTGGAGAGTTGCTCTTCTCTAGGACTGAAGCTGGCTGTGGTATCAAACTTTGATAAGCGCCTAGAAGAGATTTTGCGTGTTTGTGACCTGCTGTCTCACTTCAGCTTTTTGATAACATCAGAGGAAGCAGGTGTAGCAAAGCCGAATGCAGCCATCTTTGATCAGGCACTGCAGAAATGTGGAGTACCAGCTGCCAGCGTAGCTCATATCGGGGACCACTATGTGAAAGATTACCTCGCCTCTCGCTCTGTGGGCATCCACGGGTTCCTGTTAGACAGACACAACAAGCATGACCAATCCGACGTTCCTCGAGAGCATCGGCTAAGCTCCCTGGAGGACTTGCCGTCACAGCTTCAGCAGCACATAGACTAATGCCAAACAGTCATGTGCTCAGGTGCAAAGCTACTCAGGCTAACGGTGGTTCAGTTAACAGACTCTTTTCTGGGATGTAGCCATGTTGACCTGAGTGGCCTCAACCACCTAATAGCTCCAATTAAATGCTGCTAACAGACATTTCTAGGAAGAATCATGGGTTGTATTATAAAAACTGTATGTACAGTGTGTAATTATTATGCACTTATATTGTGAATAAAGTGGGAGCAATAAATACCAATTACTTGTACAGTTTGTCTTTAAAAAGTGCCCCATAGCCTTTTTTCACCTGATGACAACATCTTCTCAACAGATGGATCAAAACCTTGCTTCCTGTTTGGAAACATTTGTATGTTTGCCCTTTAATATATTCAGGATCCTCCCTTTAAATGTTATTTTTATGTATTTTGGGGGTATTTAAAATTTATTACAGAGCTGATAGTCGTGAGGTAATAGGAAATGAGATGGGAAAACGTGCATCAAAGCTCACCTGTCACTTGAACAATGGATGTTGCAGTTGCATGATCAGCACTTAATTTGTCACCCATCTGTATTTCTCTAGCCTTCCATAATTGATATCAACTGGTGCAGTTAATGAGAGGCATATGTGGCTGCAGACCTGTTTCACTTTTCCAGTAGAAAGGTTTCAGTCTCCTCAAATGATTCAGTGAAGTTATTTTGTGGCAGAGGTTGAGGTGGCAGTGCATGCAGTGATTTCACTTTCCACTGTTACCTAAGATCGTTAGGTAAGGTAAGCTCAAATAGGTTTGCCCTGTTTCCTTGCAAATACATAATCCCAGCACAAAGGAAGAAGAGGGTTGTCATCATGGTGGTGGTTTAAATCATATTAAACCAACTACCATAGAGGCAGAATGATTAGGATTTATCTTATCGATATCTTCCAGAGCGACAGTCATTTTAACATGAAACTCCTCTCTACTGCAGCTCAGCCAGTAAACACTGTCAAGTGGAACCAGCTCCGTTACGGTTCCTGCTGCTAATTTTAAACTGTTGAGAGCATTTCAACAAAAAATACATTGGTTCAGAACCTGAGAAGTTGGTTTTCAGCTGGAACCAAAAGAAAGCAGGTTTTTCTTGACCTGAAGTGCGAACCATGACGACATCGGTGGGTGTGTCGTACTCTTCAGGTTGGAGAGAGAGGACGGAGAAGGCAACGATGGAGAAGTCGAGAGAGAAATCGTCAGACAAAAAGAGTGTGGTCTCAGTAATAGTTGGTTCATTCTTGTTTTGTACAAACAAACATCTCTAATAGTAGAACTAAAGTTTGCAATGTAATCCCCGATTTTGCCACTACTGTTTACTTCTGTTGTGTATCGTGCAACATCCTCAGTTGATGACACATCATTGATTATAATGGTTCCACGGGCTAGTTCGCTTCGTAGCACCAAGGATCCAAATATCTTGAATGGAACAGATTCAAGAACCAGAGCTAATTTGATGGAAAAACAGTAAGAGGGGGAAGTTTGTACTCAAACAGCTGCAACTCTGGACGATATATGAACGTGATTAGCCGAACACTGAAGCCTCATATTAAGTATAGAATGTACTTATACACAGGACATGGACTGTGGCTTTTGTCCTCCATCACTTACATTGTAATCACATTTTATAACCAGTATTACAAAGTATTACAAATTCCAATAAATTTTATACTGTCTGGGCTTCTTTGCTGAGGCTGCTGCCCCCGCGACCCGGACCCGGATAAGCGGAGGACGACGACGACGACGGCGACGACGAAAGTGAGTATTGTAAGATTGACAAGAATGCCAACTTATCCTTTAAGCCATACTGATGGAGACATGATCAATATACAAACATGAATTGAAATATGACATCACATTCACGCTGTATAAAATGAAGACATCAGCGACCTTTTCCTGTGATTTGGGTGAACTGACTGACTTTAACTGAAGCGCTGAGCTTTCATCATTCCTAATCATTTGTTTCAGTGCTTAGCAGTGAGGAGAACAAGGCAGGGTTGCTTAACCCTAATACCTTTGTAAATACTCTTATTTCAAACCATCTGGTTAGAGGCAGATACTGGGAATGTTGGGCTCAGGATCAAAAGGGCCAGAGGAGGAAGCGCAGGAAAAAGACCAGGATGGCATTGCAATTCAAAGCAGAGCTCCAGGCTCTTATGGGGAATAGGGATTGACACGTGTCCAAATCAGATTTAAAGAGTTCAAGAGAATTTCCCGACGCTGACAACACATCCTTTCATTTTGCGTCACAAAAAGTGAATCAACAGACAGTTTTTAATAAGTCTTTATCTACTGTTTCTTTGCCTTTTTGAATATGTTTCCCCTCACGCTCCTTTGTATGTAAAAGGGTATTGTGTATCTTTAGGGGAGCGCCCACAAGAGCTGCTTAATTCAAAGCTGGTTTAGTAGCTCAGCCAGACGGCTCTAAAGGGCTTCACAGAAATCCAATTGCAGACATAATGGGATTGTAAAACAAAACGAAGCTCCTCATGCGGAGAGCGCAAGGGAAGAGCAGAAGAGATGCAGTACGTTGAGAGGGAAGATGTCAACAGAATGACATACAAAGTAAATTAAAAAGAAAGAACAGGATGTATGTGGCTCATCGAACAAAGGCTTTACATGAATGGGTGTAGGTTCTGTTAACTCAAAAAGACAAATAAATAAACTGAATGGCAATATAGAGGAGGGCTGAAACATTTCCTTCAGCTATAAAAGCACTCAAGAGTTCAGCTCTTTGTTCAATTGTGCCCGGGGTTCAGGGTTTCATGTTGCCATTTCTGTGTGTTGAAATATTCAGTGGAAGAGAAAAATAGAGGAGCAGAGCGACAGAAAATCGGGGTATTTGAAGAGAGGAAGAGAGAGAAAAGGAAAGAGAGCTTCAGAAGTGAAAAGAAGGTCACGCGATGAACCGGATAACAGACTCAAGAGACGGAGCAGCAGCTAATAAGCACATAAATAAAATATACGCACACATACACACTTGCATTTTTAATTCTTCATTGGAAAACATAATAGAGGCTCTCCAACTGTGACAACATAAATCTGACAAAGTAAAGGGTTAATGCATGAGAAGATCATCCTTCTCAGATTGTTTTGTATCAACAAGGTTTATATACATTTAATAATTCTGTCTTTTTGATATTTACACATAATAACCACACATATTCTGAATGTAAATATCACATACTGTAAACAAAGACAAGTGTATCATCTGCTCAAGAGTCTTTTTGGCATATACATACCATCACATTCATTTTAGAGTTTTCTGTTCCATCTTATCACACAAAGCGTGTACACACTTTATCGACCGCATCACTGTGATGTAACAACAACAATCACTTCAGAGTAGAAAACCTAATTTTTGTTGTCATTTTCAGCCATGACTGTGATGTTTTAACATTTATAGTTAAACACGATGGTCCGAAGTATCTGACGTTTCTGCTGTGCTTATGTACGGTGTTGCTTTGCTGGCGTCGTCGATAAACCACATCTACCAGCTGGAGGCTAAATAATGTACTGCTGTGGACAGGGGCTGCAGCAAAAAATGTATTTTAGCCACCTTAAAAAAATCAATATCAGTTTAAGTGTACGCTGTATTTGGAATGGCGTATGTATTTTTGAAATGGCGGCACAGAGGTACAGTGGTTAGCACTGTTGCCTCACAGCAAGAGGGTTCCCATTTCGAATGGGCAGAGTTTGCATGTTCTCCTGTGTCAGTGTGGGTTTCATCATGTACTCCAGCTTCCTCCCAAAATCCAAAGACATGCAGGTTAATTGGTGACTCTAAATTGCCCGTAGTTGTGAATGTGAGTGTGAATGGTTGTCTGTCTCTATGTGTCAGCCCTGTGATAGTCTGGCGACCTGTCCAGGGTGTACCCTGCATCTCACCCAGTGTCAGCTGGGATAGGCTCCAGCCTCCTGCATCCCCTAACAGGATAAGCAGTTATGGAAAATGAATGAATATATTTGGAATATTGTTACTGCTTTATCTTACGCACTAACTGTTCGAGGCAGCAGTAGACCAATAACTCCCATGTTCAGCGAGGTAAAATCACTGTTTTTGCGAATGGAGCCTGGTGACTATGAGATAACAGCTTCAGTTTCCTGTCGGAAAGGGCTGTCTGACAACAAAGTAAATCCATGAAAATATTCTAAATATAGCGTCCACTTAAACTGATATTGATTTTTTTTTTTTTTTTTTTTTGACGACGATGGACTTCTTTCAGTGGCTAAAAACGAACCAGCTGAGGCAGTGTGTGTGCAACGTCATTTTATTCTATGTACATGATGCATGGGTTTTCTACACGGAAGTTACTGTGAACAAACATCATGATTCTGTCTGTATGCAAGTCAGTTTTCAATCATTATTTTGTATTCCCTCACTTATTATCATTATTATTATTATTACATTTTTTTAAAGAAAACTTTAAATATTTTCATTTTAAATTAATCATCAGAGGTGTTTCTCTCTTTAAAAGTATTTAAATTCAAAGCAAGCGCAATGCTGTAACACACCACTCTTGAAATAAAAGTGTTTTGTGTTTATTAAAAATACGAGCTGTGATTTAAGAGCATGCATGCTTAGATGGATGTGTGCAAACACTGTGTTCCCTTGAGTGCTCATTTAGGCAAAGTTAGAAAGTGTATTTGGCATCTCCTCATTATGTGAACACTAGTTTAAGTGACTACAGTGTACATTAAGTGCAGTTTTTTATGAACAGTGAGCAAGCTTGCAGAGAAAGTGCAACAACACAACAGGACTGTGAAATAATGTGGCCACCCAGGATGTGTCGGTACAGTTATAGCTTGCAAATCAAAACACCTCTAATGCATCAACACGTTCAAGTACAGCTCAGGAATAAAAATAAAACTGACAAATATTTCAGCTTCAGTGGCAACACTGTCAGTCATTAAATCATCAAAATCATATTGAACCATTTTAAGTTCTGCGTGTATAATTATTGGTTGGAGTCCAGGGGTTTTTAATCCATTAGCAGTCAGTCTGTTCAACAATTCCTACTCCTGTCAGGTGAAGTGAGTTCCTTCTTTAAAAACAGACACTAAAACTTGTTTAAAGCATCAGTTTTCCCCCACCGTCATTTCCTAAAAATGTCCTCTGTGCTCAAAGAGTTCTGATGAAAAGTGCTCAAAGTTATTAAAAGACAAAAATAAGAATTGGGGTCTTCTGACTTAAATGAATTATTGTTGTCCCGCAGCCCAAAATAAACACCTTTCCTTTCTGACATCCACTCAGGATGATTAATGGCCTCGTAGATCGTCTCTCGCGTCCTCTAGGGCCAGCCATAAACAGTAACCAGGACACAAGCGGAGCTCTTCGCATGTAGGATTTGGCAGCAGCTTCATCCTCAGAGCTTCAAACAGACTGTTCTGCGTGTATCTCCATTAAGTCAAAGAGTCAAGTAAACATGTTCCTCGGCTGCAGAAGTCCCAGTCAGTGGGAAAAAAGTGTCCTGGAACATTTAACCGTCCACATCAAGCAGGCCTACCTCAGCCAGGTTGGTGATGATGCTTCTTCACCTCTGGGCTGGATCAGAACATGTGAATACCACTTTGGATGAAATCCTGAGGATTTGTGGGCCAGACAGATAAGGAAAACTAAACACGCCATGATGCAAACAGCTTGTGTTTCAGCATGATGTCTTCTCAAACCACTGGAAGAGAAACAATCAACAAGATTATTGTTTCTTAGGAGGATCACAACACCTTTTAAGAATGAGGCTGACAGTTTTATTTAATCAAAGGCTCATGACAGGCCGTGGTGTGTTGTGATTATATCTCACTTGGGGGGCTCTGTTCGTGGAGGGCCGAAAACCCTGGAGTGATAAAACTCTTACCGAAATGTGAAAGACACAAATTTAAACCATTTTAATGAACATCTTCATTAAGAATTGTTCTTACAAAGAAATAGGTCCTCCTGCAACAAACTAGCTTTTCCCTTTCGCCTCACTCGTCATTCGACTACTTCACTGGAAGAAGAGCAGACAGCTGTTCCGTAAATGTACCTTCAATAAATGGCTGTAATGTTAGCAACTCAAAATCCGCACAGGGTTTTTTTCCTGCGGAGATGCGCACTGCTAATCCACTCCTCTACAGGTCGAAGTTATTGGAGGTCTAAGCTCACCTTAAAGCCAGAGATAAACCTTTTAACCATGCATTTACGTAGTCAGCTAGCTGAGTTGTGAATGTAATTGTTTACATACTTGGTTACGTACTCCATGTGTTACTGGAGGACTCCATTAGAGGGCATACCAGAGGTCTCATTTATATAAACACTGCGTACGCACAAAAAGAGGCCTGAAAGTGGTGTACGCCACTTCCCACGGAAAAGTTGTGATCTATAAAAACAGTCTTGATGGGAGAAAGTTTGACCCATGGTTACGAACATTTTGGAGACAGGAAATTGGCGACACAGATGGTGAGGTAAAAGCCTGATTGCAGAAATTGTCAAATATTTTTTGGCGCACACCATTTTTGGCTTTAGTCCATACGTACATTTTCAGTATGGATCCTACACACTGCTTTATAAATGAGACCCTAGAACTCAGACTGTATGGAACAATAAACATGGCGACACTTGAAGAGGTTACTTTACTATTAATAATGAAATCACGGCAGAAGAAGTTTGTTGATGATAAGGCCCCTACCTCTCAAACTGCCCCTACCGTTTATGTGCGTATTGCATCTTGCAGACGTGTCGCGCTAATTTCTAAAGGTGTGCACAACTGACACTCCAAACGGACACCAGGCAGCCTTCATGCGCATGCAAAGGCGTATATCTCTGGCCTACATGTTTCCATTTTGTAGCAGTTTGTTAAAAGGCTTCCTATTTGTTAGGCTATTTTCCCCCCTGTACATGCAGAGATTGCCTGATATCAGAGTTGTGAACTCTTTACACTCTGTTTTAAATATGTGTGGAGAGGGCAGATTCAAAGGTCTGGACCCAGGCAACGCAAAGTGACACTGAATTAGACATCAATCAGATTGCTTGATTTGACCTATGCGTTTTATAAATTTTAGTCACTATCAACAAATCTGACTCATCTATCCAAAGCCTGATACATTTTATTCCTCTGTGCTATAGGCCTATATTTTAAAAACACATAAATTAGCCAGAGCATTATATTGGGTGACATTTTTCTTAACACTGTATTTTGAGTTAATCCCACATACACTGTTCTGCTGCTGTAAAAACCACTAGTGCTCCGATTGTGGATTAATCCACAGCTGAAAATAGTCCCCAACACATGCACTATTTACTCTTGTTTGAGTAACAGTTGCTAGAAACTGCAGTTTAAAAACTTTATATTTATGACCTGCTGGTTAAGGGTTACACCTCCATTTGGATCAAATAAGAAAGAGCAGAGAAGTCAGAAAGTATAGAGAAACAGATGTTGTTGATTTTGCTTTTCTTCTGGAATTTGCTGACAACCAGAATAATACAACCTAATGCCAGCCTTATAGCTTACTGTGTATAACATAAATAAAGTACCACTCTCAGAAGGATGGCAGGATGATCCGTGCTTCTCTGGGACGTAGTGATGTGCATGGCTCCGCCTGCGACAGTCCTGCCTCCACCAGCAACTGCACAAGAAAAGACAAAAGTAAAGACTCGTCAAGTTCATCACTTCGTTCCTTAGATGAAAAATTCACTTTCCTCATATAGCTACATAATTGTTTCTCAACACTGTACAGTTTATCAGCTATGATCCCAATGAACCTGAAGTAAACTTTGTAAAATGTGAAGACATATTTGTTACTTACTGTAAAAGTGTACACAACACCATGATGAGAACACAGCCAATCACACACAACACCAGCACTGTGGCAACTGTCTGTTGTCTGTGATTAGTCGCTACTACAGCCAGCAGGTCTGCATGCTCACACCTCATCCCAACAAATCCTTGATGACACCTGCAATAAGGAGGGAAAATTATATTGGGTATGCAAATAATCAGAAGTGAAAACAGCCATTAATGGATTTTCTAAGCAGCTCAAATCACAGTATTACTGGCTTAGGATTCAAAATAAATGAATAAAGTTCCACAGATACAGGGTCCAAAAACCAAGGGGAATAGTTTCACTCTAAAATAAACTTGGGTCATTAATGTCTAGATATTTATCTATTATATTAATCTGTCACTATTTACAGTCCTCTGGTTCAAACTATTGAAGGTATTGAGTCTTTTGAACCTATAAAACCACAGACGTGTTGTTACACGGCTCATGATTCAGCTCAGATGCCAAAAGAAAATGTTTGCATTGTATGTTTGTGGGAATCACAGATATATTACATTTGTACACTTCATATATAGCATATTAACATCTTTAAAGTCACGTTGTATATGAGCTGACTTTATAATTGGGAGGTGGAGGGGATGGTGGATGGCACGACACCTGGGTGAGACAGCTGCCTTTATTCAGGACCAACAAACAACTCCAGCTGATTTTGACATCTCTTGGCAGCATTCCAACTGGTGTTTGTGGCACTGAATCTGGATGTTTTTTACTGGTACACTGCAGCGTTCCAAGCAACATTTGAGCCACCAAACCTGGGTGTTTTTCACTGATCGTCCCTGCTGCTTTTTGTGCCGCCAAACATGGCTGTTTAAAGCCAAAACATGATGTTTTCCTAATCATTATCAAGTGTTTTCTGTGTGTAAACCTAACCCCACCTCCACCACAGCAATGTTGAGAAACATAAAGTTTCAATGTATCTGCTATAAAATAATGACCAAATGTAATATCTCTTTGGTTTGCAGACATATTCAAAGCAAATTTTTTTATCAGGCAATTGGGTTGAATAATTTCTGTATGAATTATTTTGAAAATAAAACATTATTTGTAAAAGTTTTTTTTTCCATGGTTAATTTTTAATTTTATTCCCTTCCTCTTCTGCAGCCTCTCCAGAAACAAAGAGGTCCCATTCGCTCCTTTTCCAGCCTTATTTCACAGGTTACTTTAGATCCTAAGATTTCATTAATGCCTCTTCTGAAGGATGGCAACATGTCAGACCTCACTGCTCAGAAAAGTCCAGTCAAAAAAAGGCAAAAGTGCTTTAAACTGCTAAAATGCCAAAATGACCAAAGCAATTTAAATTGTTTAGATGTGGGTGAAATATATATTTTTTATATATGTGAAATAATATCATAGTATCATCACTACAGCCTAACTTTATAGTGCAGTCTCACAGATTTCATTCTCAGAGTAGCATCACCTGAACTGGTAAAAGCTGATTTGTTAAAAACCACAGACTGTATATAAAGATGGAGGACGTGTCTCCACTTCCTCTCACAGTACAATAATGAAGCCAAAATATGGGTATGGCCGCCGCCATCTTTATCAGTTGGAGCCAGAATCTGCACAGTAGTGACCTCTGTGGAGTCGAGTTCCCGCCCATCCACCCATCCAACCTAATAACAAGTAGCTCCCTTGATTGGGAGTACACTAAGTGACACACAGAGCTGTCAATCTTGATGTCAAACCTTCTTTTTATCAACCAATTCAATCAATCAATTAATTTTATTTATAAAGCCCAATATCACAAATAACAATTTGCCTCAGAGGGCTTTATAGCATACGACATCCCTCTGTCCTTCGGACCCTCACGACCTTTTTATAGCATCAATTACCTGATGAAAACTAAATTTATAAAAGAAAAATAAACACTTGAACATACATCACAGAATAAGAACTGCCTAAAATAACAGAAACAGTCTTTGAGAGATAAAAATGTTTGTGTGCTTTTATATTTTAGTCCCGACTTCAGCCACCCACCAGGGGGCAATCGAGAGGTTTTCTATTCGTTAAACTAGCTCTAACATCTAGTAAAGAACAGTGAAACTCAACACATTTGACATATTATATTTAAGAAAGTAACAACTTACACACATGCAGGCGTCTCCTCCAGTATCAGGAAGCGACATGTGCCATGGAAGCAGAAATGGCGGTGGGAGTCCGGACAGTCATCAAAATGAGACCGAACAGCCGCTGCCACGAACTCTGTGAGGGTGGAAAACATGATATTGTTGAGAGATATAACTAAACTGAAACCATCGACTAATATTTAGGCAGGTTTCATGGAATGATGGTTTAGCTGTTGACTATAACTGGAACACTTTAAGAACCATCAACCAAGTCCTTCAGAGCATGAATTCTAGAGACTGTCCTCCTCCGAAACATGACCACATCAGTTGTTTGTACAAGCAGCTTATTATGACCCATATTTTTGTTATTTGTTAGGCGGCAACCTCTAGTAGCCATAGTAATTATGACAACAGCAAAGGAGGAAGTCAGATGCCATGGAGGTCTAGATTTGAGTCCAATCCGCTTCTCTTTCACTCACAGTGGCACGCAGTATTAGCAGAACACTACGATAACAGCAAGTGGTCGAGTGGGAAAAGTTGGAGATTCATGAGCACTCAGTCATTCAACAGACAGACCTGGTACATACGGAAATCAGGTGACGGTGTCTAAAGAGCAACAAAGCCTGCATCGAGGAGGTCCAGTTGGATAGATGGGTCAAAAAACAAAGGACTTTCATCCAGGAGACTGTTGTTTATGTGCCGTGTGAAACCAAACTTTATAAAGTTATGTAACAAATGTATTCATTTGAGCCCAAGTCATGATCTTTATTCTAAACCTAAACAGGTAATTTTGTTGTGTAGACCTGCGATGTTAACCACAAATCGTGACCATTAACAATCACATATGACCTATTCTGTCATTTAGGAATGAGGTCTTGTTGATTTCCTGCCACCCATTGGGGCACTAATTTAGGAAACACTCCTGTGGGTAGTATTAGGAGGTAGATATGGGCAGACTGATTCTTTTCACAGTGTTAGTTTCTACGAGCTGATACATGTCAATGTATCAAACCCTGTATAAAACTGGGCTGTGGACTTATTTGTTTCTTACTTTGCCAGATGTTTCTTTGGTCCAGCACCCACTCCATTGGACACTGGGATGTGCACGTCTTCTGTACTGTTTTTGGCAGAAATATCATTGACCAACGTTTGGCGTTTTGTCAGGAGCAAGTAGCAGACGTTCCAGTTAACGCCACAGCCTTGTGCTGCATTCATGTGGTCTCAGAATAATCTGAAAATGAGGTCCTAATCATATTTCATGTCTCACCTGATCCATTTGTCAATGTGTTGTTTCAATGTTCTTAGCAATTATGTACAACATATCTTTTTTTTTACCGTCCATGTTTCAACATAACAACTTCTAGCTCATGAACACACTGAAGTTGGAAGTACAACCATCCCAGGAGCATGTGAATGCACCATTGGCCTTGGCTGGTGGAGGTCTAGACTTGAGTCCAATCCGCCTCTTGTTCACTCACAGTAGCACGCAGAAAAAGCAGTACTTTAAGATGACAGCAAGTGGACGAGTGGAAAAGTTGGAGGTTCATGAGCTCTCATTCATTTGACAGGCAGACCCAGTGCATACGGGACACTACAAAAAGCCATTCAAAATTTTTGCCCATCACTTATCAGAGCTGAGGAACAAACAACCTATGTGGTCATATGTATTGGAGGACTTGCTGGAATTTTACCCTAGATTAACGTATCAAATATAGTCCAAGTGCAGTTAGTCAGAAAACACAGGTGAATATAATGAATCTAAAAATAGCCTAAGCCTGCAGAGACCTGAAACAACAGCATGTACTAAATCCTCAAGCTGACACCCACGCCACCAACGGTAGACTGAAGCCTTTTGTTATCAGTTGCGTGTGGATTTGTGGTGGCTTACATCTCTCACTGTACCTGGGAGGGACAATTAGAGTCAAGAAAAGTCCTGTGAGACGCAGCAAACAAAAACCTCTGTCCATCAGCCCACATTATCACTCATGAGAGAGCACACCCCTGCAGGCACATCACTTTAGCAGAAATTAAAGCCTTTAATATATGAAGCTTCTTTTCTTTTCAAGCAACTATCTCAGTTTTCACTCTGACAGAACAATGGGGACAAAAATATCCAATTAGATGAACACCCAGACAAAACAGGGACATTTCTTCCACGTAAGCTGTACAGTCAGACAAATTCCTACATAACTGACTCAAACAAAAGTCAGTGTTCCCCGAGCGGACGAAACAGTGTTGCATTCAGGGTGGGAAGGAGGATGAACATGCAGACAGATAGCTGCATTACAGCCTTCGTCACACACTCCATTCCAACGGTAAATGGGCTGTTGGATTGCAGCCTACATGTATTGTCTCCGTCTTTCAGACTCTGTGAAAGCCCTCTGTTGTCCCTGAGGCATCTGCCTACCAACCCCTCTCCCTTTCCATGTGATTTTGGCAGTCGGACGAGAGGAACAGTGACACAGAAACCGGCCTTCAGGGCGTGTGAGGTGCTTTTCAGATCAGAATTCAATACTCTAGGTGCAGCATTTGTGATACTGCTGAATTAACTGCTCATATATTCTGCTCATAACCTTTTAATTTGCCACAATCGCTGCCCTCACTCACACTAAGAGGATCAATTATCAGCGAGCGCCACACTGTCTGCATGCGGTGATGCACTGCAGCTCAATGGGAAGCTTTAAAGTGTTGAGAACTCCTGCTGTGGATGCAACGCTGCAGTGAGAGTGGATCAGCGCTGCATTGAGGGCACGATTTATCTGAAATATTGTGATTTCTTTTACCAGAGATGGCTTGAGCCAATCTTGACATAACATGAGTGTATGTTGACTTACTTTTAACTGGAGGGACACTGGTTGTTGTAGCAGCTGCAGTAGTTGTGGTAGTTGTGCTCCTGCTGCTGCTGCTGGGTGCTGCAGAGCTGCTTGTTGAGGTGTTTGGAACAGCGCTGGAGTTTGTATCAATGGACACACTGGCTTCAGTAACTGTCGGGTTGCTTGGCTCAGCTACAAATGCAAAGAGGGAACCTACAGAGAGGAAAATAAACAGCTGTTGACCTATAAAATGGTCCTCATCTGAAAGAATATAGAAATATAAATGAAACTGTGCAGGAATGTAACATCAGGTTAAAAACACCTGCTGGTGAAGCACCCTGGAGTCAAAGTGGATCAAAATCTTAAGAACATTTGGGAAGATATATATATATATATATATATATATATATATATTTCTGGCTATATAATGAGCCTGAACCTTCATCTGCATTGTGACATGACTGTGCTGAGACCTACCTCTAACTGTTGGGATGCTCGTTGTTGCAGCAGATGCAATAGTTGTGGCCGTTGTGCTCCTGCTGCTGGTCGCTGCAGAGCTGCTGGTTGAGGTGCTGGAAGCAGCGGTGGAGCTTGTATCGATAGAAATGCTGGCTTCAATAATCGTGGAGTTGCTCGGCCCTGCTCCAAATGTAAAGAGGGAACCTGCGGGGTGGACAATAAACAGCTGTTGACATATAGAAACAACAATAAACCCCTGCAGGAATATAATAACAAAAAAATACCATAAAAAAAGTTCACTGTAAACTCACCGTTGAGTACCACAGACATACTAAAAGTACCTATAGGAATATAAAAAATAAGTTGTGATTTTCTTGCAACACAAGGAAAACCAGGTGTGTCACATATCGTGCTATCTGATGAACAACCTGAGGGCTAGTCCCAGTAACAGCTATGATCATGTGACGCGGTATTCAATGTGATATCGATGCTTCATTGAGTAACTGGTGCCCAACAATAGTAACAGGGTCAAGCATCCACTAAAAGGATGAGACCAGAGCACTATAAATACACATAGCAGAGACACGCAATCACAAACAGAGGCTGGAGGCAGCTTGTAAATACAGAGAGGGGGGAGCTGATATAAAAAATAAAATAAAACAATCAAAATTGATAAGAAATATGATCATTTTCCCTCATTTTTTCCACACATTTCAGATGAACCCCACAGAAATGCACCAAAATAACACTTTAGTTTAAATGTATAGTACTAAAGGCATACTATTAGAAATCAGTGACACCATATAGGACACACAATTAAATGAACGTGGAGTACCATAAATAAAACTGTTAAAATTCTGACATGAGTTTTGTACTGACTGTCACTGCAAGTCAAAAAGTGACCCTTTAAATACATTTTAACTGACAGAATCAATCAGGGGACAATATTGAGGGACTTTAATCAGCATTTAACACTCATGTTCCACATAAAATCACAAGTCAGACTGAGACATGGACATGAAATTAGAATTTTTCCTGCAAAATCAGTCACTCACCGCTTATGAGAAAAATTGTATCCCAGAAAATCCGAGTCATCATGACGACTTGCGGTCTAAACTAAAGAAAGTTGACGGGCAGCTTCAGTGAAATGCGGCCGTGTGTTAAGACACCACATTAGTCATTAGTGTTACTACAGCAGCAGCAGCAGCAGCAGCGACCATCAGCACAGGCAACATTTAATCCTGATATCACAGCGCAGACCTGTCCTCTAATGTCATCCACACACATCTGAGCCACTGTCGGAGAAAAGTCACTGTGGACACAGTTTTGTCTTCTTGTTTAGAGCCAAAAGCGTGAGAGTCTCCAGCAGGATGTCCGAGCGTTTAACTTGACTGTGTTCAATTGAGGAAACTCGTGTAATCCTGTCAGAGGCTGACCAATTAGAGACAGAGAGGAGGAGGAGGAGGAGGAGGAGGAGGAGGGGGGTGTCATCTCATTATGATCTCAGTATGACTCCTCAACGGTTTTTATTGTGGTTATGGAGTGTGTCTTAGAATGTATCTGATTATTTAAATCATTTAATTTCAGGGGAATTTATTGTGAAACCTATAATCTATCTACCTATAACACTTTTTAGCCATTTGCAGGACATAATGCAACACACTGAATTATCTTAAAAAACATTTAAAATAAACAAGTCTCCTTAACTAGCAAAATTTTTAAAAAGTAAATTAAGTAAAAGTACCTTAAAATTTCAACTAATAGCCCAGGCTTTTATTTTCTTAAATCACTGAACTCAACAGGCTTTTATTAGAGACAGGCCTGTAATTCCTTCTACACAAAAACTTTTGCTCAGGCAAGATGGGACATACTATCAAACTGTCTATTTAAACCAGTATAAATATTACTTGTTTAATAGTCTGAGTGGGCGGAAGTTCGCTGCATAGATCAGCCTCTCATTGGGCGGAAGAGCCACCCGCTGAAGTCCCGCCTTACCACCTCCGGTTGTGTAGCAGTTTTCAATCGTTAGCAACACGTCCTTTACTAACTTTTGCGGTGTTTGATCTTGCGGGGATGTAGCCATTTTTCTGCCATGGTTCGCGTACTGTAGGCGATATTTTTGTGGGCGTGTTACACCAAAACCTGTTTCCCCCTGGCAATATTTTTGCAAGCGCACCGTTGCTGTGGCACCGCCCAGAACGATTGTGATTGGTTGAAAGAAGTACAAGCAGCCTGGGTCGGCCCAACCAGACCTTTCTTTTCTTGAGAAAGGTCTGGTGAGCGAGACTACTTGTTTAAAGAACCTGGTCTCACTCCGAAGTTGTCGAAATCTGACGCTTGGGTAGTGACTTGCAGCATCAGGAACCAACGAAAAAGGCGTCCTTTAACATCAGCATGATACGTGGGCAGTTGCAGTTTAGTTTAACTGTGCCCCGCGGCGTCAGGGGGCAACACGGCAGGACAAGGATGAGAGTTAAGGCGGGGAAGGTCCAACTGGGGTGAGCAGGAAGGGTGGTGGATGGGTCTGACAAACACTGAGTTCACCCAAGAAAGCGGTTTTCATGTCCCGTAAGATTATAAAGCCAAATCCTGTTCTTTTTTTCATAAACCTAACCATGTGTGTTTGCTGTCGAAGAGCAAAAATCTCAACTCGCGGTGTTGTACGGACAAAGTGCCTTTATTTTGAAAGAGACTGCATGTAAATGTAAAATTTCCTCTGAAAAGGGAAGTATATTTTGAAAGAAGACAATGTATGTAACAGGCAGAACTTGACACGGCGTCCCAGAATGTTGTCAACCAACACACCCAGGCTACCTTGCACGTTGTATGTGGACGTGGAAAGTCCATGACCGCACGTCAATAAGTGACGAGGTCGGAGTGAGAATGTGTTGGTATAAAACTTTGATTAACAGCCAGTGATGATTTTCATCCAAAAAGTCTGAGAATGTGTCTCCACTCCTTTTATCTGTGGTCTTGTGAGCTCCACTGCTGCTTTACTTCTTCTTTCATTCTGAACACTCAGATGACAGTAATGTGATGCAACAACATTTCCTCTGTAATAAAAAAGTATGGGGTGATGTCAATGTCGTCATCCACCAGTCATCTGAAACAGAAATGAATTTGCTTACTGATCCTTTTAATGATGAGTTAGCATCCTGTTTTTCAAACGGCTGTAAGTATACGTCTACATCAATTTCATCTTATTGCAGTAACTACAAGTTTGCAGTTTAGTGACTTATATTGTGAGACATTGGGTAGAACTGGACAGGAAGTACAGTAGCTTTCCATATCTGACAGCAGACAAAGAACAAGTGGGAGCAACATTTCAAACCAGCTCCATCTGCTGGACATTAACAAGTACACCTCTCCTCGAGTCTTACTGAGGTCTAAATTATGTTTTAACCTTATACAGTCTATGGTTTTAACATATTGTTTCAGACGAAGAGATTATATTAACAAATACATAATAATCAGGACAATATGACAGCAGTACGGTTTAGTCGCAATCCTCTCTTAAATCCTCACATGGATGCAAGTTGTCCCAAAATTTTCAGGTTCACTGCATGTCAGTAGGGCTTGGTAATTTGATTAACTGCTAATTAATTACACCACTTATGTACGATAGTTGTGTTTGTTTAAGTTACCACAAACTGATGCCCAGAACCCCAAGTCAATAGGACATTTAATACGTCCCCCTAACCTCTACCCTTAACCCTGTATTCAAAGAACAGTATTTTTGATGCAATTATGTAATTTATTTAATAAAAACATTCAAACTCAGACTAAATTAAATAACAAAAACGTGACTGTAGACATATTGAATTGAACATTTTAATGAAATCTATGCTTTCACACGAGCATTTAAATTGCATGAACTATGTTGTGTATTGTTAGTTTCATACACTGATGGACGTCCATAAGGTGAGACATAATGTATGTAAATGTGTGAATATATGAGTACAGAGGAGGTAGGATTGAGCTTTTGAGAGAAATGTTACATTTAGGAGAGACATTCATTTTCCGTAACCACTTATCCTCTTGAGGGTTGCAGGGGGGGCTGGGGCCTATCCCAGCTGACACTGGGTGAGAGGCGGGGTACAGCCTGGACAGGTCGCCAAACTATCACAGGGCTGACACATAGAGACAGACAACCATGCATGCTCACATTCACACCTACGGCCAATTTAAAGTCACCAATTAACCTGCATGTCTTTGGACTGTGGGAGGAAGCTGGAGCACCTGGAGAAAACCCTCGCTGATAAGGGGAGAACATGCAAACTGGGATCTTGGGATTCGAACCAGGAACCCTCTTGCAGTGAGGCGACAATGCTAACCACTGCATCACCGTGCCGCCCTATGGAGAGACACACCAACTGAAAACATATGTAGGTATGATTGTCCATTGTCACTGTGTGTTTGTTAAATGGATGGATGGACGCAGTGACAGACTCACTAGAAATGGAAAGATCAGTCCAGTGATGACAATGTTGAGCCACATCATGGAGCCAGCGGTCATGTAGGCTGCTGACTGAGCAGTATGAAGATCTATGTGGGCAGGACACCAGTTGCTCCAGCTGGGAAAAAAACAAATATATTGATGATCACAAACTTAGAAATATCAAGGGGAGATACTTCAGGTGAACACATTTTTCATGCTCTGGTCAGTTTTGAGATTTTGGGCTATTCTGCTTCCATAACATGACTTCTTTCAGACAAGTAGACAGAAAACATTCATAATACACAGTAAAGGTTTTATTTCAGATTTCTGTTCTGGAGATGTACGCAAAAAGTTTAATTATATAAGGCTCAATGTGCAAATTCAACGTGTACCCTAATATGTAAAATAAATGTCTTAATGTAAATAATCAGCTGGGGAAGTTTCATGGTGATATCTGTCAGTTGAAATGTTTACCCTATTCACATGTTGTGTCTTATGTTTGCTCTATGGAATTTCATGATGCATAACTTTAAAGGCCATTTTTTCTAATTAAAAAAAAAATCGTTCATGATGGAAAATAATGGTAATCAACTTGACAAGTTTATGTTGATGTTGGTCTTTTTTCCCACCCATATCACCTGTAGTGTCTCCCCCTTAAGGATGAAAAACATATTGTCTAAACTGCACGTGTAGTGTGCAGTTGATTTATATCTCACATGTTGACAGTTATCTTTTCCTGCATCTGTTTATATTAAGTAAAGCCCCACGTGTCTGCATCCACCTCCTTTCACTTGAACGTATGGTGGGTAAAACCTCACTCACCCTACTGCGCATGCGTCTTTCTTCATAATCTACTCATCTAAAACTCAGTGACAGTAATTAATAATAATAATTTCCCTCCACAGATCAGTTTCGGTGTCTGAAAAGTGCTGGTCGGACACCAGCTCAGTGTTGGGCCACATGAGCGTCCACCTGCTGTTTGCACAACTGCAGCCAATCACAAGAGGCCGCCACACGCACGCTCTGAGTATGAGCGCGTGCTCGAGGAGGTGGTGTGAAGGATCGTTATTGAGGAGGTGGGGCGGGCTGAGCTCACTTCATCAGGTCACCTCTGTCTGCAGCCTCTTCACTACCTCCTTCGGTTAATCATGTCTCCTGCCGCTACACCGAAGGTAAATTAGCACTTTTAGGTTTCAGTAGTGGATCTGTCAGAGTTTAATCCCCTCTGAGTTTGATCTGAGGAGTCGGGAGTGTTATGCAATACTTCAAGAAAAGCTGAGTTACTTAGTGTAGTTTATGTGAGGTGCAGCGCTATCTGAGGACGATTATATTTTAATGTGACTTTATTTTACACATGACCTTGCATTGGTAGTCTGAAAATAAGTAGCAACAAAACAGCTATCGTCGTCAGGTGGAATGTAACTAAGTATTTGTACTCAAGTACTGTGCTTAAATGCAGTTTTGAAGTTCTCCTATGCTACTGTATACTTCTGCTTCACTACAGTTCAAAGGGAAATATTGTACTTAATATTATTATAGGTTAAACTACCAAGCTGTATATAAAATAGAGCACCAACTAATGATTATTTTCATTGTTGATTATTTTCTCAATTGATAAATTAGCTGTTTGGTCTATAGAATCTGAGATTTATTTATTTATTTTTTTAATGTTGAACAGTGTTTCTAAAAGCCCAGGATGATTGAAATTGAAATTTCTTGTTTTGTTCACAACCCAAAAGTAATCAGTTTACCGTAACGAAAACAACAGAAAATACTCACATTTAAGAAGCTTGAATCAGAGACTGTTGACTGTGTTTTTCTTAAACAAATTATTCAGACCAATTAATTATCAGATAGCTGGCCAAATTAATTTAGTTTAGTTTAGTTCAGTCATTTATAAAACTGAAATACACTGGTAGATAGACAATAAATAAACATAAACAAACAAGTTAATGCTTTTTTTAGCATCATAAACAAAAAAACTAGCTGACAACAAATCAATTTATCATTGTAGCTGTACTGTAAAGTAATGAAAATTAGCTCCACCTTTACCTGCTCTAACATTAAAGTACACGACTATCAAGTAATGCAACGTATATTATTCTGCATAATGAGTAGTTTTACTTTTTATACTTCAAATATATATTGATGCTAAAACAGTTGTACTTTTACTTGAGCCTGATTTTGAAAACTGGACTTTTACCTTTAATGGAGTATTTTTACACTGTAGTATCTGAGTATTTGCTCCACCACTGATGACCCTGCAGAAAACGTGAATGAATGTGCAGACTAAACTCAGAGAAGAAATATTAGGTAATCATTGTCATATATTGCAAGTGTAATTCTGATACTGTATCTCCAGCTGCATGTTGTGCAGTTGTTTAAAACAGATCACAGATTTACAATGAAATTGATCAAAAAGAGGAGATGCTGTGATTTTAGCAAACAATAGGCTGCTTGATACGATAAATGTTTATAATCTACTGAACATCTGTATCAACAGAGCAGTGTCCTGACATTGGTGCTAATGGTTGCCTCCGCTTCCATTGGAGGAACTCTACAGTATGGCTACAACCTCGCCATCATGAACGCTCCAACTATTGTAAGTTTTTGACTCTAACTGCCAAATTGTGTGCATGTGTGTGTGTTTAAGCAGCGGCAGACTTAACAGTGTTTCCAAGCTGTTAAAATATAGGTACATATACCTTATTTACTCACTTGCAGTGTTTAGCAAATATTATTGTCATCAAATGTTGACTGTCTCCTTTGTTTGGCCTTGTTGTCTGTTTTAGCTTCATGTCTGTTTCTGTGTAAGTACAATGAGAGCACCAAAAACTGAAGTCATGTTCCTTGCATGTGTTCACATGAAGCTGATTCTGATAAGGCACTGCGGGACGAGTGTTCAAAAAGAGTTAAGTTACGTCTACCAGTGTGAACAAACATGAACACTGTGGTAGGGTGACACTGATGATATTTATGTGTAAGTGTAGTTTGTGTGTGTGTTCCCTGTTGGAGCTTCACACTTTCCCTGGGAACCAGACGAATCTGTGAGCTCATGTTTTATTTGCTCTGGCAGGTGTGTGGTTCCCCACTGCGTTGGACAGATTCCCAGCAGCCTTATCACAACCGTTTAAATGGTATGGTTCATGTTTTAGACGAAGAACGTAGAGCTGGGCTGTAAAGCCAATTTCACATGGTGACTAAACCTTGTCAATGCAACTTCCAGGTCTGTCATGTGATACCACTGAGCCCAAAAGACGTTTCACCATAGACTTACGTTGTAAAAGAGATGTCTGTAAATCAGCAGATACTTTTTTAGATACATCAGTTTCCCAGTATGAACACTTAAATAGACCTTATTTCAATTATTATTTCCTAAAAGTTGTATATCCGCAAAATCCAGATTTATTATGATCTGTCGTTAGTGTGAGCGAGCTCAAGACCGATTGGTTGGAAAGTAGGACACACTAGTGCTAGTGTTCCATGGACCCATGGATGCAGAAGATCCAGGCAATTTTATACTTGGAAGTCTATCTGTTTTTTTGGCTTTAAGCGCCACTTAGCGACTTTCATGCGAATGAATAGGGCCCCTTCTTTAATGCTGTTTCCATAGGCATTTTCAGAAACAACCAAGATGGCTGCAGCTGATGTGGAACTTCCTGTTGAAGCCAATATCATGTCAGTATTAAGGACGGTATTATTTCCAAGAAAAACAGTCAATGTTATTTAAAACTTTTTCTTGAGATTAACGATATATTTGCCGGTTTTCCGACAGGATTGTGCAAAAGTTTAATATACTAACCATAAATGTAAATTTTTGGAAGGAGGGGAGCAGGAGACAGGTGCCACAGCGGTCCAGTGGTTAGCATTGTCGCCTCACAGCAAGAGAGTTCCTGGTTTGAATCCAGGGTGGGGGAGCCCTTCTGTGCAGAGTTTGCAGATCTCCTCGTGTCAGTGTGGGTTTTCCCAGGTACTCCAGTTTCCTCCCACAGTCCAAAGACATGCAGGTTAATTGGTGACTTTAAATTGGCCGTAGGTGTGAATGTGAGCACGAATGGATGTCTGTCTCTATGTGTCAGCCCTGTGATAGTCTAACGGCCCGTCCAGAGTGTCCCCCGCCTCTCACCCAATGTCACGTCCCTCTCAATAGTTAGGACATGTGCATTTGTCATTTGTGCAGACCAGCATCACTATTATTTCACATTTGGGTCACAGTGAAAATAAAAAACAAGAATCAGGATACTTGTGTCTGTGATTAGTCATTCCTATTTTAATACATCTAATTCTACTGTGATGTAAAAACTAATTCTAGTTTGACTTTTTAATGCTGCAAGATTTAAGTCAAGCTTCTCCCCACCAAAATGTAAACAGACAGATAACCTGAGGTAATGAGTGTTAGCGTTAACTGCTGCTCTGTGTATTCGTGTGTGTTTGGTTAACTCAGTGAGACTTTAATGGTTGACTCTCTTGTCTTTTCTGACAGTTCATTCAAACATTTGTCAATGAAACCTTCCTGGAGCGCTGGGACATCCAGCTGGAGGACTACCAGGTGACTCTAGTCTGGACAATCATTGTCGCCATCTTCTCGTTGGGGGGCTTTGCGGGGGCTCTTATCGCAGGACCTATGACCATACGCTACGGGAGGTAATATAAGACGCTGCATCGTTCAGCTCTATGACAGTTTGTGGATGCCACATGCAGAAAGTGAATGATCAAGCTGTTGATTTAGTACATGCACATGAATGAACGAATGAAGAGATTGATAATTTACATTCCTCTATCACTTGTGTGCGTGAATATGACCTGGGATTGAGTTATGATCCTCAGAGAAACACATAGGCTAAACATCAATCATGCTTGCACACTCCGTCTATCACTGTAATTCACTCTTAAGAATTAGGTTGGTGTTGGTCAGGTCACAGGTCACAATAAATATATATTTAATTTAAAAACTAGAAGTAACACCTTATGGTCGTCTGTGAAAACATGGAGGCATCACGCACGTCAATTCAATATCTGACCAAGTGTCTCCTCCTCTGTTTCGGAGATATGATGTTGAGTAACAGCCAGAAAAGTGTTTTATGCGTATGTTTTGTGAGATCACACTGACCTCGACCTTTGACCTTTGACCACCAAATTCTAATCAGTTCATCACTACGTTTGTGCCAAATCTGAGAAGAATCCCTCAAGGCCTTCTTGAGATATCGTGTATACAAGAATGAGACTGCAAGATCACAGTGACCTTTGACCTTCAATATCTACTCAGTCAGTCATTAATTCCGAGTGAAAGTTTGTGTCAAATTTGAAGAAATTCCCTCAGGTTGTTCTGGAGATATCGCGTACACAATAATACACCGGACGGGGTCACAGTGACCTTGACATTTGACCACCAGAATCGAATCATTTCATTTTTTAGTCAGGTAGACGTTTGTGCCAAATATGAAGGAATTCCCTCAAGGCGTTCTTGAGATATCGCATTCACAAGAATGGGGTGGACAGACGTAAAGATTGACGTACAGACAACCCAAAAACATAATGCCTGCTGCTGGCTTTTGCCAATGTAGAGGCATGAAAAAAGCTAAATGATTTCCTGGGCACTGTAGTTTTTAGCAAATGTTATTCAAACAAGCGTAAATAATGCATTTACTGGGCACTATTTACAGAGGCGGATGGATACTCATTTATTCTGTAGTGGTTTTTACGGCAGTAGGACAGTGTATGCGGGATTGACTTAAAATAAACTACAGTGCCTGTGTTTACTGTAATGAAGGAGCATGTTACTCAGTGTAACACTGTGTGCAGCTGATGTTTTTAATGGGCTCCTCTAGGACACAGAAGAATAAGATGTATCAGGCTTTAACTCCACAGATAAAACTAGTAGGATTGATTCATTGCTGTTTTGGGGTTATGTTTGTGATTTTTATACAATTACTCTACCAACATGGTATCTCTGCAATATAGCCAATGGAAGAATGAATGAGTGACTAAAACTCTCGTTGACCATAAGTTGTTTGCAGTCTGTTAATGTTGTCCTCTTTTCCTTCTCAAGGAAGAAATGCCTGTTGCTGAACAACATCTTCCTGATGTCTGGAGCACTCTTAGCTGTGACAAGCAGAGCCGCCAAGTCTTTTGAGATGATCATTATCTCACGTGTCCTCGTTGGAATAAATGCCGGTATGTCATTTGTGTCACTAAGTGATCATGTTTGTGTTCAAATACCTGTTAAAAAACTTGATGAAGGCTGCTGTGTGTTTTGCAGGGATCAGCATGAATGTGCAGCCCATGTATTTTGGAGAAAGTGCCCCAAAGCACTTAAGAGGGGCTGTGTCACTGTCATCAGCCGTGTTCACAGCATTTGGTGTTGTGTTGGGGCAGGTGGTCGGACTCAGGTATGGACACGGTTACACAAGTTTTTGTCAAAATAGGATAATCCTTTACTGCAAGGTCCACAGTAACACACAGTAACACTGTGGATTATTTATTCATAGAGAGATTCTGGGCAGTGAGCCATGTTGGCAGTATCTACTTGCCAGTAATGCCATTCCTGGCTTCATCCAGCTCCTGACCCTGCCGTGGTTCCCAGAGAGCCCCAGATACCTGCTCATCGACAGAGGAGACAAGGAGGCCTGCATTAACGGTGGGTACTGTGATATGTCAGCCAGTAGTGGAAGGTTAATGAGTATATTTTATACAAATACTGTACTTGATGTACAGATTTAATGTACTTGAGTGTCTCTATTTTATGCTACTTTTTACTTCTACTTAAGTACATTTGGGAGAAATATTTTTTTACTCTACTAGATTTATCTGACGATTGCAACATTTTACATTATATCACCATACTTTATGTATAATATATTACATGACAAATTACAGCGCCTATTTGGGGCCCTTGCTCACCTTTCAAATGTCTATAAGCAGTTTCACAAAAGAGATATTTCCTTTCTAAACTTCTCAGATGATTTATTTACAGTTATTCTTTTACAATTGCAAATGTTTAACAATATTTACCTGTATGTTACTGACTTAACTCAGCAACGGGGGGCATGGTGGTGGAGTAGTTAGCATTGTCGCCTTCCTGGTTCAAACCCAGGGTGGGGGAGCCCCCCTGTATGGAGTTTGCATGTTCTCCCCGTGTCAGCGTGGGTTTTCTCCAGGTACTCCAGCTTCCTCCCACAGTCCAAAGACATGCAGGTTAATTGGTGACTCTAAATTGGCCATAGGTGTGAACGTGAGTGTGAATGGTTGTCTGTCTCTATGCGTCAGCCCTGTGATAGTCTGGTGACCTGTCCAGGGTGTACCCTGCCTCTGGCTCAGCCTCAGACAGGCTCCAGCATAACCATGACCCCCAACAGGATAAGCAGTCACGGAACATGAATGAATGAATGAACACAGAAACACACCTACATCACACAATTAGCCAAATAGCTAATATAACATTTTTTTTCTCATTTCCTGTCCCTTTAATCATCTCACAACTCTCCAGATTTATCTTGTGATCTTTTTGAGGGGGCTCAACCCATTGGTTTGTAGCTACATAACTAAACTACTTAACTGTGTATAAAGTATTTAAATTAGATCCACCAGCTACAACATTAAAATGTTATGTACACATTATTGCATCACCAGTGACAATTGAATAATGTCACATATGATAACACATAGGTCACGGAGGCCATTTTACTGCACCATTAGCACCATTACTGTTGATACTTTGAGTGCATTTTGCAGCTAATACTTCTGGAGCCAGTTGAACAAAGCACCTTAAGTTTGCTCTCTAAGTATGACACTTAAGGCTTACATGAAATACCTCGCTAACAACAGACTGGAAAGATCCCATCGCACAAAACAGCAGAGCAATCATTCATTACAAAGGGGCTTGAGGAAGGAAGTCACAATCATAAGCTGACTTCTGCTGAAATTTAAAGTGTCCATTGGGTTCTCTCTGTCGTGGAGCACTCATATCAGGATGCTTTAATTTTTCTCATTTATCTCCATAAACTCATCCATGTTGCAGTTAAGATGGAGTCAGAGGTACCTTATGTTTTTGTCCTTAATTTGGTTACTAAGGTTCTTTGTGCAACGGTTTAACAAACTTTAAGCAATTCCTTAAGTATATGACTAAGGTCAAGTGAAAAACTTAAATCCCTAAGTAAACATTTTAAGGAAACCTTAAGGAGAAGACTTGAGGATATTTTTTGTACCTTTTTTTTTTTCTTTTCTTTTTTTTTTTCAAGGAAACCTTAACTTGGACTTTAAGGAAAATCTTAACTTACGTTTGAATGCAGAACTTTTTCTTGTGATGTAGAATTTTGTCATTTTTGTATTTGTTCTTTTACTTAAGCTAAGGGTCTGAGTCCGTCACTGCTGTCAACTCAGCACATGAAATCATATCATACATGTTTTATATATATGAGATGAAGCAGAGAATAACAAAACCAACAAATCTCAGTTCATTTAAGTTGTGTGTTTTTTCCTTGGTCAGCTTTGAGACGGCTGGCAGGGTGTGAAGCCCTGAGCAGTGAGCTCGAAGAGATCCAGCAGGAACAGGCTGAAACCAAAGGCATGAGGCCTCGGCAACCCTGGGAGCTTTTTACTGATCGCTCAGTGCGCTGGCAGCTTATCTCCGTCATGATCATCAGCAGTGCCATGCAGCTCTGTGGCAACGACTCGGTAAGAGGCATGATAGTGCGTTGTGTGTCTCTGAAAGTGTAGTTTGGTGTCTCCACAGAAAATATTGTATAGCCCATGGGGATCAGTGTTACTGACACCGAGCTACAGTAACAGTATCACATGTTCTTTTGGCCTCTGCCATGTCAGAAGGTTGATTAGAAATTTGAGATGATCCATCAGCGGTTTGAGTCGTGTCTGGGTTTCTTTACGTTCCTGCAGGTTGTATTAATAATGCATACTGGTGGTGGAGCTTCATCCCTCGCTGTAAGGTGCACTGAATAATGTGTGACGACAGCTCACAGCTTTGAATGTGCTTTATGTACTGAAAGGCTTTGTTGTCTCTTTGTCATTTCTATATGAGTTAATAACACATCTAAACTGATATTTTCAGAGCTGCAACAAGTTTCCTTCTCATCAGAAAATGCTGACTAAACTTTCAAGGCTTTCAACCACGTGCTTGGCAGTTTAAGGGAGGGCAGCAGGGTATTAACATAGTTTCTCTTTGTACCAAACACTGGCTAAATCCACTTATTAATAGTTGAAGCTCTCGTAATGATACTGGACAGCACTCTGAAGTTTTCCCATGCTCTATTTCTTTCAGATTTACTTCTATGCATCATATGTATTCAAAGAGGCCGGAATATCTGCTGATAAAATCCAGTATATCACAATTGGCACTGGCACATGTGAATTCACAGCCTGTATAATGTGTGTAAGTATACATCAGTAAAGCTCATGTTATGTAAGCGGCTAGAGGCAAAGACAGACTGTTGTTTGAATTCCTCTTAAAGCTTTAACACAGACTGAAGGACGAAGAACAGCCGCTTGTACTGTGCATACAGCAGGTTGTACATTTTATTTCACAGTGTTCAGAACACTCAGACGTATGATGTTCCAGCTCAGTCTCATGAAAATATGTGAAATGACGCAAACTCTCAATAACACATTGCGTAGCGGTGGGCGCAGAATGTTTTAATATTACGTGCTGGCAACATGAAAACAATGTTAACGCAAATCCAATGAGGATATTTTGTCATGGTGGACTCACTTTATTCGTGAGTCCACCATGAGGCGAGAAGCGAGAGGGTCCACATAGGGCAGGTAGTTACATGACTTCACGGACTCTACGTAACTACGCCAACATGTCCTGTGCGTAGGAATTTTAAATGAGCCTGATTCAGTTCCAGTGAGAGGCTAAGTTTGCGTGATAACTTTGGGGCTAACTCACTTGACCTTAATCAGCAGAAAGTAAGCAAGACACAGGAACTTGTTTTGGGTCTTGAGATGCTGAAGCATTTATTCACTGACAAATAGTCTGAACTGTTCATACACACATCACAGCACCGCTTCATGTAAATACATATAACGTCATACTCTCCCTCTCTTCCTCTCTGTCTCTCAGCCGGACACTCGCTACACACACAATCGGCACCAAAATCTGCATTGTGATTCGGTCTGGTAGGTACCAGATGTGTAGGAAGCCAACCCTAGTGAACATTGTGAAACTGTCACAGTTTGGTGAAGTTTAGGGAAAGAAAAACACTGGGTTGGGTTTAGAGAAGAAATATAGAAAAATAGGCTACTTGGTTTAATTTTGGAATATATTTGGTTTAAGGTGGACTGTTAAGTTAGAACAGCTACTCTTATTGTTGTGACAATCTCAGCCGCTCCTAAACAGATAACAGAGAAATGTCTGGCTGCCGAGTCTCTTCTGAGACACTTACACTTACCCCAACCTTTACTTTATTTTGCTGTTAGCACTGTAACTGTTATTTTGTGTTAAATTATTGTAGATGGTTACGCCTTTGTTCATTATCTAAATGTGTTATGGGAATTTGTTTGTAGTGTTGTGTATTTATTTATATTTATATATTAAGGTATACTTTAAACTGTTAAGAGTTTATTTATTGTTAAATTTCAAGTTCAGATTTGCCTTTGCAAGTAAAAAAAGACATTTTTTAATGTTGCTGATCGTCATTTTGTGTATTTTGTAAAAATACAAGTATACAGTATAAAGATGCTTCAGGTGCTGGTAACATTCTAAAAGTATCATTTAGCACCAGATTAAAAAAACAAACCCAAACGATACCCAACCCTGACATTTAAAACGTTTATAAAGTGTTTGAAAATGTGGCTGTTCATAATAGACTTTGCATTGGCGTGGTTTTCATGTGGCAGCACGTTTTTTCATGCCCAATACCACATAATTCGTTGTTATGTGGTCGTGTCCATTTCACGTATTTCCATGAGAATATGTTGGATGTTATGCTAACACGATACAAACACTTTACAATAAGATATAGATATTTCTGAGTAGCTACCAAGAAATGAGAGAAGAAAGGATCTGGAGCACACTGATGTTTAGAGAATAGAAACATGTACTTCCTGGTTGTCTTTGAGTAGACTTTATTTTGTCTCTGGAGAATGTTATGTCATGTTAAAGATATAGTTTTCCAATTTGGGAAATGCACTTTCTTGTTAGGAGTCCGTAGAGATGATTGACACCACTCTCTGTAGCCTGTGTTAGCTTAGCTAAACACAAAGACTGGAAACAGAGGAGAAACAGTTAGCCTGACTCTGTCCAAAAGTGACACTGTCCACCTACTAACACCTATAAAACTCACTCACTAACAGGTTATATATTGTTTGTTTAATCTGCACAAGATCTCTGTTGGTTGCCTGGCAACCAGGACTGCAAGTTACTGCACCTGGAAAAAATATCATCTGGTACAAAACTCCCTCAGTTTTTGGTAGGTGGATTTGTTATTGTTACTGTTTCCCCTCTGTTTCCAGTCTGTATGCTAAGCTAACTAGCTGCTGGCACTGGCTACATGTTAACGGCACAGATTTGAGACTGGAGTTGATCTTCTCTCTCATCTTCTCTCTCTGTGCATGAAAGCAAATAGAATATTATATATTCACAGCATATTTTGATGTTTTCAGAACCTGCTGATAGAGCGCAAAGGTCGGAGGTTCATGCTGATGGGAGGATACATCCTCATGACCATCTGGGCCGTTGTCTTCACAATTGCTCTGTCCTTTGAGGTATTATAAATCAAAGTATCCTCATGCAACAGTTCATATGATATCTTATGAAAAGTCACACACACGGTTCGAGAGGTTTCAAGTTCCAGGTTTCCAGTTTCAAGTTTTGGAAAAGAATCATGGCTGTGCATCACGTAATTTAAAATAACTCAAATTTAACTTTTGGTTTCACAAGGAACATGAACCGCAGCCTCCTGGGTCAAACTCCTGTTTTTGTCTGATCTGTCCACCACACTGAATTTCCTCGCTACACTGATTTTGATCCCTCTTTATCATGGATGAGAACTGGATACTGCGCTGGAGGCAGGCCCCCATTCATTCCTATGAAGCCCAAAAATGTCGACTTCCTGGGTGTAAAACTAAAGTAAAGCTTCAAAGTCCTCCTTTGCTCTCCTTATTTGACGGAGGACAGCCCGCAGCACATAGGTCACATGATCACCGCCTCATTATAAGAATTACATTTACATAGGTATAAGTACGAACAGTGAGTGAGAACAGCCTGTATAAATCATTTAATTGATCCACTTAATTACCAACATTTTTAACTTTAACAGTGATAAGTCATGCATGTATCTTCAGTTTTCAAGATAACAGTGACGGTCAATTCTATATCTGTGATTTTTGTGTGATCTGCTTTCTTTTTTTTTTGCTCAGTGTGTATATTGTACTCTCTTCTCCACATGCAAACAGCAACATGTATCATGGATGCCGTACCTGAGCATGGCCTGCATCTTCACCTACATTCTCAGCTTTGGCATGGGACCAGGTCAGTGTCTGTATACTTTCTATATTATGATTTTTAAAATGAAAATTTTGTCTCATGACACATTATTGAAATGGACATAAACACAGCCTTCAAGATGGACCAGTTACAGTTGAGAAACAGTAGCCTAACAACAAGACAAGCTGGCTTTCCAGCCGTGTCATTGTCCCTAAATCAATCAAGATTTTCACAAACAAATGATAAGCCATGTGTACTGTCGGTCGCAGCCTGAAATAAGGTGTTGAAAATCGAGTGTGATGCAATCGGTGATGTGATACAAAGACGGCTATCACTAACTTCAGGGGCCAGTGTACTTCTTACAGCTTGTGTGTTACAGTTGCCATCCTGTGGTGTTCAGAGGATGAGGCACTGAAAGACTACACCTGAGACTGCTGATTAACTAAAACAGCCTACTTTAGATTCATTAACTGTGTCTGTGTCACGTGGGATTTGCCACTGCCCCACCCCTTTAGGAGGCTAGCGGCCGCCCTGACTCCATTCATTCCAAGGGTACAGATACAGGCTCATACCAGCTAGTACATTGATTTAAATTGGTCAACACACAGCTTCACCTGAACTACTAGGTAGGTGTCATATAATAAGGAAACTGGAAAAGTTATAAAAGTTTTATATTTTTCTTGTCATTTATCAGGTTTTAATGGACACCCTGCAGCCAATCAGAATCAAGTATTCACCAAAAAGCTTTAATGTTAATCAATCTTTCATGAATGTGTCATAAAGCAATAGATTACTTATTATGTGTTACCAAATCCCAAAAACCGTGTATGGGTCAGGCTATTATATTGATATGAATATTTCTAAGGATGTGATGATTAACTCTGATCAATATGTTTGTTTTGTTTCCCCAGCTGGAGTGACTGGTGTTCTGCCCACAGAGATCTTTAACCAGACTGCTCGGCCAGCAGCCTACATGATCGCTGGCTCCATGATGTGGCTCAACCTTTTCATCACGGGAATGATCTTTCCATTTCTAGTGGTCAGTCTGTCACTATACGTCCATCCATGTCCATGTCCTGCAGTAATCATGCATACATTTAAAACTATCAAAACCAAAGTGTACATACACCTACAACATTTTTTTGTAAGACTAAAGAAAGGCAATATTTACAGTAAAAGTTTCAGTTAGTTACATACCTTTGACCACCAAATTCTGATCAGTTTATTCTTCAGTCCAAGTGGACGTTTGTATCAGAATGTGAAGAAATTCCCTTTAGGTGTTCTTGAGATATTTTGTTCACGAGAATGAGATGAATTCAAGTTCACGTTGACTTTGACCTTTGACTGCCGAAATCTGATCAGTTTATTGTTGAGTCCAAATGAGAGATCGCTGATGCAGAGGCATAAGAAGTTTTGTATTTTGTCCATTGTTATTAAGGTTAGGTTTTTCCATTTAATTAGTAGACTACTTGTTACCAAGCATGTTAAAATGCAAAACAGAAGACTTGTTTGAAATGCGAAAAGAAGGAAAAGACACCCTACAGCACCTCCCAGAGTTCAGACTCTGAAACTGAGGAAAAAGGGGCTTTCTATCAGGATGCTTGTGTCTGTGTCTCTGGTCCTATTGATCCCTCTAAGATATGTGAGGTTAAGGCTTTAGTTAATTCATTTCTAATAATATAAATCCTTTTGTAATCCTGCACATGTATACATATACAAGAATACACAGACACAAACAGACATGCTTTAAGTTAAGATTAAAGCACACACACATTTCAGTTGTCATTTACATCATGTCTTACATCTGTCTGATAGCTGTCCTTTGCCTTTCTTCGACAGAGCGGGTTGAGTGAGTACTGCTTTGTGCCTTTCGCAGCGATCTGCCTGTTTTCTGCGCTGTACATCGGCCTGTTTCTGCCTGAGACCAAGGGGAAATCTCTGTCGGCCATCACAAGTGAATTCCACAAGCTCAACTTCAAAGGCCAGGACGAAAAGCAAACTAAAGCTCAGTATCAGCTGGGTGAAGTGTGTCATTCCACAGCCTTGTAGACAGACTTTTTATCCTGAAACGCACACGGTCATATCCGCTGTACGCCTCACTCTGACCTGATCTGCTTGAGCTGGAAGACGGCCTGTACGTGGCAGTGTCACTTTAACAGCACTGGAAGAAACTTGGATCTATTTTTACTCCTTTATCTTGAGTTTGTTTTACCTTTTACATCTTCACTTAAGTTTTGCTATGTGATAATCATGAGACAAAACTAATTAAGTCTGCTGTATACTGGCAGTGGATGAGTCAGCTGCTACCTCTGAAAACACATAAAGATGTATCTAGGTATAAAAAACCCACTTCAGCCTAGCAAATGAACAGTAATACATTTTATTAAGATTTTATAATTTTATCTCTATTTCTTAGAATAAAGTTGTCATCGATGTTACCAGCGTTTTTAACAACATGTCCTTGCTGTATCCTCTCATTTGGGAGGTGAAAGGTCAGAGGAAGCTGCACAGCAGGCCTCCCAATTAAATGACCAACAGAGTACTGAGGTCTTTGCTGTGTGGCAGATGATGGACCAAATCAAAGAGAATGTATTAAAGCTGGGGTAGGTAGAAATCTGTAAAAAGCAAAAAAAAAAAAAAAAACTCTTTCCCGTCTCTGTCATAAGCCCCTCTCACCAGACGACCAAGGACAGATGCATAGGCTTCACACAGTGACCCAGAGTTTCCCATGCATTGATTTATTTAAGCTTAATTTATTGTAGAGCTGCGTTCAGCACATTCGCCCAGCCCTTCCTCACTCTGTTGTTTTTCTTTGCTACTCAGACCACAGAGAGACAAGAATCAGCTAACTAGCCACCCCAACGTCCCTTTGCCTCATTCTCTGCCCCTGTTGACTGCTTCCCCTGGAGGAGAGCCGGGTGATGGACTAGCGCAAATCCCCAGTGCTGTTTGTCAAAGCAGGGTGGCACAGAGTCGGGGCTGTCTGGTTCCCTGGGACTGGGGGTTATGCTGACTAAAAATTGAGTTGCTGCGGCTGCTCGATGGGGGTCTGTCTCCAGAGCTGCTGCCTGCTCTCCTCCCGACAAGGTGGTCTGTAGCAGCGGGGAGTGAGGTTGGAGGACACACTGTGATTCAAGGCTCTAGCTAATGTAACTAAATAAATGTGAACATAAAGCTGCAGCCATGAGCCTCAGGCTGCTTTCAGACCTAGAGTTTGCTTGGTTTCATCCGAATCAGGGACTAATGTTGTTACAGAATTGCATAATTGCCTAGAGTTGGTTCGTGTTCTCACGGCAGCATTTACAAGCAGACCAGATCAAATGCCTCGCGCGAGAAAGCTGCTCTTGACTGGTCAGAATTTCCATGTGGGAAAAATCTAGGAAGTTAACAAAACGTTGAAGAAGAGTACAGTTAAGATAAATGTGACACTTTCTAATGTCACAATGGAGGGACAACTATGCAGGTTGGTTTTGGCGCTGGTCATTGTGTACTATATTGCTGTCATTGTTCATTTTAGTCAAACCATACAGTTTGAAAACGAGGCGTGGCTCCAACTAGAAAACAATGTTTTGATGCATTGGATGTGCTGAATGTGCATATTAAGGCAGTACAGGAGGAGGTGCACATTAATAATCCTCCAGGACTGTAACATGCTCATGTTTAACCCAAACAATATGTCACGTGACTGCAGTTGGTTCGGATCGAGGCCTCTTTCTGAAATGACCTGTGATTGGCCTAAGTCTCCCATCACAGCCTAGATTTTCCAAAGTCTGAAAACAGAGCCAAGAGGAAGAGCAGAAGTCTAGTTTTTTCTCAGTCCACTTGAATTATAATATACTCAAAGTTTATTAAGGGATTTCTGCCCCGTGACGCCAAAATTAAACTGCCTACCACATCTTTAAGATAAAAAGTCTTAATTTGCACCTTATTAAATATAAACTGTGTGTGTCAGTGTGCACACCAGTCATTAAAAGAAAAGATACCGTGACGATGAGCATTTTTGCATTAAATGACTGAATCTGCAGTTGTTACATGAGTGGAATATGTGAAGCTGTTTATGTTGAATAGTAATGTCTTTGTTTGAATGATCTAACTCTGAGCCAATAAAAGTATCTTATGTTAACATTGATTTTCATTTGTGATTCTTCAATGTGATCAGCAACAGGTGCCTTTCATACGTAAAACAGAAATAAAATGGTCTGCTTTCCTCTCAGACTGCAAATGTAAAGCACTTTAGACAGTTATGCACATTTGACACAACCATGTTCTTGTGGAGAAGTTTTACAGCCACAAACTAAATTCACAATTGCACAGAGATGTTTGATAAATTGTCTCATTACAAATCAGAGCAAACCAGATAAAGAGGAGTCTTCCTGATTTTCCCAATCACTATGACGACATTGAGCTTATCAAACCTTAAGCAGCTACAGGAAACATCATGTAACTTTTAGTTTGTTTTTTTTAATAACCAGATGAGTTGTACTTCCCTCAATGAGTAAACTGATCTCCACACATAAAACAGTGGAGATGCCTTAATGCGTACATGTACTGCAATCACAGAACTACTAATGATGTACAATGTACGAGCCTCACGTGAGCTCAAATATGCTGCAAATAATCCTCTCATCTCCACACGTGTCGTGTGTTTTTTTTAACGATACCTCCCTCTCTTAATATCTAACTTGGTAGACAGGACACACATGCAGGACTTCCTCTGAACAATCATGGGAATCAACCAGATAGACCAGGTTGGATCTAGCGCAGCGTCTGGTTATAATCATCAAGCAGGTCAAAACATGATGAATCCTGCTCTAACGACATGAATGGGAAGCTAAAGTCTAATAATGAGTAACTGTGTCACTTCATCTTTTATGTAAGCTGCTCATCTCCTGCTCCTGCAGCCAGCATCCAGGGAGCCAGCACGAAAATATGGACAGTTCATCAGGAAAGGTGAGTGAACACTTTCATTACAGCGTGTTTGTGGAAGAAGATTCTCTTTACCTGTGATCCAGAGTATTTCTCAGTACTTGCAAAGCAGTTTGTATTTAGAGAGCACATTTCAGTACAAGTATGGAAGCAAGAAATGGCTGGCACATGCATGCAGTTCTTTACTTAAGTGTCAGTTCTGCAAAATAAAAATGCTTCATCACATATTTTGCTGAAGTTAAAGTAGCTAAGATACTAACAAGATTACTCAAAGTGTCAGAAGTAGAAAAACAGGCCCTGTGATTGTGTATTACACTGTATATCATATTACTAATAAGATTTGACTGTTGTAAGTGTTCAGTCTGGAGCTAATCTCATGAAGCATCATATTTTATAATGTCATGATATGATTTACATGTTCAGTTAAACAAACAATGACGTTACTGTACAATATCTGACTTCCACTTTACATTTCAGCTGCAGTACTGGAGGCTGTATCTGCTGTCGCTGGTGTTGGGAATAGGGGGGTCATTTCAGTATGGGATTCAAGTGTCTGTCATTGCTTCTCCGGCAGTGGTAAGATTTCTGTCAGTAAAATGCAAAGAGTGCATTAAAAGTGAAGGTTTGGTGTGTGAACTGGATCAAAACCCTCTCACTTTACACGGTTTATTTGCCTTCTTCACTCCTCCCTGTGGCGTGTGCACACAGTCAGTGTCAGTGAAGACATCATGTCTTATTTTCTCCCCTTCAGAAGAAGCCACATGCTGTTGCTCTTCCAACAGACCTGAGCAAGAACATTTAACACAGTCAATATTACGCCTTAATATTGTGTCAAATTCCTGTTTTGTTGTAGCCACACAACACCAAAGTTGTGTTTCTTATTAATGTAAATGTAAGGTAGAATTTTCTGTCAGTAAACGTTGAGAGCATGCCATCTTTTACAGCAATTCAAAGTTTAATTATAGTGCTGAGATTCTCACTTGAACCATATATATTGTTTTATAGGGTGACATGTGACACTTATTAGTAGTAGTAGAAGTGGGTAGTATTTTTATTACTTTATGAGTGTGTAATGAAAACCACGAAACAAGAAAAACATCAGTAATAGCAGAAGCTGGCCAAATATATTTTTATTTTTGTTGTTGTTGTTTGTTGTATGTTTTGCTGTGTGTCAAGGCCATAAGTTACAGTTACAGGATAATGATGAACTCTAAAATATAGTGTATCAGTAGCATAAAAAGAGAAGAGTCACAAGATCAGGAAACTGGATGAAAAATACTAAATTAATACATGTGTTTTTCACTGTTGCACATTTTCTAATTAAATTAGAGAGTCTAAATCACCATCGCTCAGTCACAACTTACTGATTTCACAGCTGACATCAATGAGTGTCTGAAGATAACTTTAATATGTCCCTTGACCTCTCCGGCCTTTCTGCAGCACGTTCAGAGTTTTGTGAACGACACCTGGTTGTCTAGGTACGGCGCTCCAGTGGAGGATTCCACCAACCAGCTCATCTGGTCCTTCATCGTGGCTGTGCTGAGTCTTGGAGCCTGGGCCGGGGCCATTCACAGCGGCAGCCTTCCTGTCACTTACGGCCGGTGGGACACAGACACACACACACACACACACACACACACATTGTGGTTATACATTCATAAAAGCCATGTCTTGGGTTAGATATGGTTGTTAATTGATAGTAAACACTCAACAATTACATGCTGACATGACATGTCTTGTTTTCAAACCACTCACCTTCAGTGAACCTTTCGTGCAATGTGCTGACCAGATCCAAGAGACTACTTCCTGCTACAAAATTTGAAAATACAATTATTTAAAGAATTAAAAGCTAATTTTTACTAGCGGCAAACGGCTTAAAACCAGTAACACAAATGTACTCAGCAGAAAAACTGAATATCCAACTCCTTGGAGGGTCTTTTAGTACAAAACACACAAAAGTTTTAGACACTGAACATGACTTTTCTTTAGGGTGACCAAAACATTACTATTTAATTAAATTAACTGAAAAGCTACGTCTCTAATCTGTGAATCTGGGGTCACACCCAGGCCCCCAGGAAAGCCTTGTAGTCAAATTTTCCCAGTGACCACTCGCAGTGTTGCAGCAAAAAAATCCCCTGCAGCCCAAAAAGCATTCTCCCCATAGACCACCACTGCAAAAGAGATGCCTGTAAAACTGATGACTGGACACCTTGAACTGCAAACAAGGTTAATTTATAACTCTGCTTATTATGAATTTTTGATCCATGGAGATTTTGTATTTGTAAAACTTTCCTCAAGCTGAGAGAGTTTTTTTTAAATATCTGTGACATCATCACAATGTGAAGTCTGTGAGCCAAATGGGAACTCTAGGGGAGAAACACTACTGTGCATATTCAGTGGGCTGCAGGCCGTGGAAGAAAAACAGGAAGCTAGAAAACTTTTTTCGGCATATGCACCAGGCAAGCAGTTCTATTGGACTGAATGGGCGTCATCTTACGGTCCTGTATCTAGTCTACATCAATAGTAACACTGTGGTTATGTTACATAGCCAACAGTGTCGCTGTGGTAGGAACTTGTCAACAGATGGCACCACCTTTGCCGGTGGCTTAATCTGTCATCCTTGGAGGGTGCCACTTGGAACAAACATGAGAGTCAGTCTTTTCAGAGACTAATTTTTTTTATATATATACTTTATTAATCCCCCTGAGGGGAAATTAAATTTTTTCACTCTTTTTGTCATTAACACACAGGTCTGAAAGACATACATGCACAAACAGGACCTTTACATGCACAAGGTGGAGAGATGTCAGAGTGAGAGGGCTGCCTTGGTCAGGCGCCCCGAGCTGTTGGGGGGTTCGGTGGTGCCCAGGCAGTGAACTGGCACCTCTCCAGCTACCAGTCCACGCTCCATATTTGGTCTGGACAGGGACTCAAACGGGCGATCCCCAACCCAACCCAGGGCCCTATGGACTGAGCTACTGCTGCCCCAAGACTATGTCTGTTCTTTTAATAGAAGTAGATGTTGCATTTTCTTTGTTTCCTTTGCAGGAAAAAAGCTCTCTTGATCAACAACGTTGTGGCGTTTGTCGCTGCTCTTCTCATGATCTTCAGCCGCATGGCCAAGTCTTTTGAGATGATCTTGCTGGGAAGATTTCTTTATGGATATAACGTTGGTACATGCTGATAAAGTGTAGTATGCACCTTTTCTTTTTGTTTTTGTCAGTGTTCTTTTTCGATCCTCTTCAGCTTGTCTTGCTCCACAGGTCTCGGCTTGAGTGTTCACCTCATGTACCTCGGTGAGAGCTCTCCAAAGAACCTCAGAGGTTTCCTGACTCTCACAAGCTCAATCTTTATTGCATTTGGAAAAATAACGGGTCAGATAATTGGCATCAAGTAAGAACTGTGTGTTGGCACTGTCATATTTCTAACAAAAAAAAAAATCAGGACAAGTTAGACAGAAAAAAAGCAATTTACCCGCTTACTTATTAAGGAGGCCAAGCCAAGTTACGAGTTAAGCATTTACAGTTGTTCTTTCCTGACACCATCAAATACATGTTCCAGACCAGAGTAACATGTAAACATCTTAGTAATTAGTCAGGATGTGCATCACATAATGATGTATAAACCCATCCTAACAGACTCTCTTGTTTTACACAGGGAGATGATGGGTACAGAAGACATGTGGCCGTATCTCTTAGCTACCAGTGGTGTTCCTGCCATCCTGCAGTTTGTGATGCTGCTTTTCTTCCCCGAGGCACCTCGACACCTTTACATTGACAAAGGAGACATTGGAGGCAGCAAAAAAGGTGAGTGGACCAATGGTGCTGCCAGGAGGTAGCCAGGGGGTCAAGAACAATCGCCAAACTCTCATGTGCAATGCCGCTGCCACCTGCACATATGATCAATTAGTTTTGCATCCTGACCCACCCACCAACACAAAATCAGCAGCCCAACCCGAAACCACAAGTCCATCATGTTTAAAGTGATCATTTTGGGACATTTCATACATGTGAAACTAAGATATTATATTTTTAAACTAAGGTTAACCAGGGAACACAAGTTAAATGAATACTTTTTGTTTATTCTCGTCATATTGAGCTGCACATCTCTCTTGTTGTGCCTGTTACTAACACACCTGACAGAAGCAGCACCGCATTGGCTTCACTTTTTTAGCCTCGTGGTTGCTGCTTGATAAAAACAAATGGTGGCCTGGATGAGTGTTGGTTCTAATAATGCCTTGTGCATCTAACTCTTCCCACAGTTTTTACCATACATCTCATTCAGTTATGGCTGATTTACTCCCTGTTACTTTAAGCTTTACAGTTTTGGAGCCAGGTTATCAAACCACAGGATTAAACCTCCAGTTTGATCCAGGATGTGTATGTCCATGTGTTTAAAAGCCTTGCAGTGGCTGTGGCAGGAGGACAATGTAAAGCAGGAGCTGGACGACATGCAGCAGGAGAGAGACAGCACCCAGGGAGAGAAGGCCAAGACTGTGAGGGACGTGCTCTGCTCCCGCTGTGTTCGATGGCAGCTACTGACCCTTATGATCCCATGTGCTGGGATTCAGTTCTGTGGCATCAACGCTGTATGCTCATCTCAGCTTTAACTTTAATAATATATATGACATGATCCATTTTTAGCAGCTGCGTTCTGTGTCATGGCCTCTAATATTTCATTCTCTCTCTCAGCTGTATTTTTACGCCTTTGACATCTTCAGTGAATCAGGAGTGCCAGAGGAGCAGATGCATTACTTGGCTATTGGTTTTGGAGCAACAGAGCTCATCACCGTGTCACTGTGTGTAAGTATCTCCTCTGTACAGAAGCTCCGAGAGGCAAGTGAGGAAAAAAAATCTGGTGATCCATTTTCTAAGTCGAATCTGAAGTGTTTTCCCTCCTGTGTTTATGACTTAAGAGCGGGTGAAATAAAGGTTTTGTCAGGATAATCTTTCCTATTTTTATTATCTTTACCTACCTGATTGTAAAGACAGTGACTGACGGGAGAGAGACTCCCGTGCACATGGCATCTTCCCTGTCAGGTGAGGAGACTTTATTCAACCTGTGTGTCGTGTGTCAGTCTTTCCTAATAGATCGTGCTGGCAGAAAGAAGCTGATGGGCTATGGCTATCTACTGATGGGTGTCACAATGATAGTACTTACTGTCACACTGTCCATCAAGGTAAATACAGTTCAACAGTGCACCCTTCTCCCTCCCTGTGTGGTAGAGCAGTGTTTCCCAACCATTTCTTTAAAGGGACAGTTCACACAAAAGTCAAAAACATATTTTTGCTTCTCCCTGTAGTGCTATTTATTAATCTAGATTGATTTGTGTCGGCTCAGCCACCTCCATGTCAAGAACAGTGTCCAGACAACTCATATGCTCTGAATTTCACATACAGCCCCTTTTAGTTTTTTAT